CAGTGTTTGTGTTTGCCAGCCATCGGGAATTGGAAAATCATCTCTGTGGGAGATCTGACGGTGCACGTGCTCTTCAGCTGGGATCTGCCTGTTCTTCTTCGCTGCTCTTCCCAATCCCTGTCATCTCTCGCCCGGTTGCTGTGGAAGTAATCCCCGTCGCCCGCGGCTGGCTGATTGTTCCCTCTCTTCAGTCCCTCAAACACAACAACTCTACAGCTAGATCACAACTGACCTCACTAGAGTGAGTTGTTCTGCACCTGGGCCTATAAACAGAAAGCTTCCCCATCTCATCCTTCATACTGACAGCGCAAGACACGTATAGTCCTGCAGCCCGTGCAGCCTGGCTGCAGCCCGACATCCCTCTTTGCTACCTACCTACCAACTACTGCCTTTTTCATCAACGCACGCCTGTATTTACTGACCCTCTTTCGGCGGTAGAGCACACTGGGAAACATTCAAATCATTAGATTACAAAGTCCTACTCTAGCCAACCATGGAACACCCGCCTCCATCTCATTACGATGAGTTATCCCCTCCTTCCTCGGTAGCGGGCCAGATCTGGGACATGGCGCTCACGGACCCCGACTATGCCTCCCATATCCTCGACTCCCACGACACCGCCACTCCTGCCTCCGCGCGACTCACAAGACTAGCCCATCTGGCATCCCACTTCAATCCGACCTCCAAATCCGACTCCATGACCCTCCACCACTGTCTCGAGACCCTCGAATCCCTGCTGGACCCACGCCCAGCCTTGACGCAAGAGCTCGCCCGGTGCCGTCCCATGAGTCATTCCCGACAGTCCAACTCGATCGCTTCCATTTCGTCGACCGACTCCCAAGATCTGGGCGATTCCGTCGCTTCGCTCGAAGAGAGGTCACACCCTCCTCTTAAGGATATCCTGAGCGAGGTTACAGCACTCAAAGTGGAATTCGACCGCCGTCGCAAGGAATCCTCTGAGATATATGATTTGCTTACACGAGAACGCGAAACACTAGCCCGGAGGATCGGCGAACTGAATGATGAAATTCATGAACTGTGAGGAACCCAAGGGAACTTGTCGGATAATGTTGTTGTCATGGTCGCTAACAAATCCTGTAAATATAGGAACACGGATATTCTCGAAGACTCCGCTGAGCGTGAAGCGATCCAAGGCACGATACGAGGGCTCGAGAGCTGGGTGGATGAATGGCACAAACAGCGCCTATTGATTGCCGCAAAGAAACAGAGTGCTGCCCCACGGCGAAATGGTCAAAGAAGGTGGACAAAATGCAAAGTCGAAGATGTCGAGGGTGACGGCGAAGCCCTCTTTGAGGGGATCACGGCATGGATGAGAGGATGGAAGGACGTCGAGGAGGTTTTCCGAATCCGAGAGCAGAATCGCACTTTTCGAAGGGAAGAAAGACAGAAGACGCGGGCAAAATACGTATAAAATAAATTTTCGGCAAGACCGGGACCCTGGTCGATGAGGACGAAGGCTGGGATGAGATATTGTGATTTGGGTCACCCCACGCCGCAGCGGAACAAAGACTGCTGAATCGTTCGCCCGAAGACCGAGCTTAGGGCGATCGCTGATTGATTTGTCCAAGAAGAAATGGTACAGTGCAAGAAAGTAAAGAGGCAAATAGAAAGAAGTCAATGTAGCCACCGTAACCATGTAGAGTTGCCAACCGCCATCGTATTTTCCATGAAGACCCAAGCTGCGCCGTTTAGTATGGTCTAATCCAAATCATGGGGGGTAGAACTAGAGATTATGGTACTGGAAGTATATTGAAGGATCTCTGGAGACAATGATGTCTGATCACGCTCCCACAACATGGCACGTCGGGGCCTGCCGAGAACCGGGAGCGGAGAGACGAGCGCTAGCAGAGGTGCCGACGCTGAGTGCAGCACCAAGCTAGGGATGAGTCCGGCCTGCCTTCGTCGCAAAATAATAACGTCAAATGTGTATCGGATGGCTATTTACCATTTTCTTAATGTACTATCGGAAAGTAAGAGATCGTAACGCAGCCGGCTCGCATGTCTCGTATATATCAGCGCTGCAGATTTACGATGGCTAGCTGTTCGAATAAATCAGTGACAATGTCCCACACGGCACCGCAAGGACGACATACCTGGTTTCCATAACCGAAAGCAAGCTTCTTGCCATCGGTATCCCACGCTAGACTGCGATCCGGCACCGACTCCGCAGTGCCATTGTGCCCATTCACCATGGGACTAGACTCCTCCTTTTTCTGCTCTTCGGGACCCGGCACTCTCCAGGTAGCCAGCGCAGTGCCTCCACGTTGTGCATTCCAAATGAAAAGACTCTCTTTACTGGCAGCGGCAAGGGCGTATCCGTCGGGAGAGAAAGTGCTAGCAAGAGCGGGTGCCGATGGGCCGAGAAACAATCGGTGAATACAATTGAACTGTTTGGACTCCAGATCCAAATGCCATACCTTGACCGTGTCATCGGTGGCAGAAGTGGCCAAAACAAGTGGTTGTGCTATTTGCTGCTGCTGCTCCTGTTGTTGTTCCATATTGGGCTTTAGCTCAATGGCCGTGATATCCCCTTCATGGGCACCCTCATGGCGCATATCATGGGTAGGCACCCATAGTGTAGCATTGGCGGAAGATGCAGCTACCGCCACGGATGAAGAGCCGGCATTAGCACAGCGGATAAATGACCAGGGCTGATCAGAGTCGCCAGATGAGAACGTCTTGGCGATGTGAATACTCGAATCGACATCGCATTGATAGACCGTCCCGTTACCGCAAGCAAAAGCCTGGTTGGAGCCCAACCAGCAAAGATCGAAGACTGATCCCTCGATAACCTGAGGCGATGGGAATTCGTCTGGTCGTAATGAGTCGTCCCAGAGCGCTAGCTCGGAGATTCTGCTGTCTGAAGCAACCACGATCAGATGGGACCCGCTTTCCGCCCAGTGCAACCCAGTAATCATCCGCGGTACTTCGGGAAGAAGATCGACGGCATTTCCAGACACGTCATACATGGTGATGGAGCCTCTCATGTCATTGTAGGTCGCGACGGCCAGCTTCTGACCCAATGGGTCCCAGGCGACCGCCGAAACACAGGTGCTATCCCCTTTGTTCGCTACGAGTTTCTCTTGTACCGGATCCGAGGTTGAAGACAGCCTCCACAGGCTGCAGAAGGTATCGCCAGCGGCCACGACGGTAGTAGGGTCGCGAGGGCGCCAGAGGGTGCGGGTCACGTGATCATCACTAGCCAGATCGAGGATGGCGGTGTTGGGCCCAAGGTCGGCGGCCTTGGCGGGGGTGATCTGGACGCCAACGCTGTGGCCGGTGGTTAAGGTGAAGGTCGGCGCCACCGGTGCTGGTGCTGGTGCTGGTGCTGGTTCCTGGTCCTGCGAATCCGGTCGGCCACCCATGTTCACATCTCCGTCACCGTCCACCACCATGTCGGCTGTTCGAGGCGACTCATCGACTACTTCGGGTTTGCTTTCAGTCGTTACTCCGTTAGTGTCAATTTCCATGGGAGTTTCATCACCGTTGGCCTCTCCATTCTTATGCGGCTTCTTCACACTGGTGGGAGCTTGAGGTGGTGCTGGTGCTGGTGCTTGGGGTGCCGCCGCCGCCTCGGCCGTCAAGTGACCGTTAATCACGCCGCCATCTCGCGGAACTTTGCTTGTGGGCGAGACAGGCGCCTGGTCTGTGCCAACGCCTGCCTCCCCGGGGCCACTTTGACCCTTTTCAGTTTCGGGTTCCAGCGGCGTAGGCCCGAAAAAGTAGTCAGACGATGTGAAGGCCGTAGGATTTCCATCCTGTTCATTTCATTAGTTCTCATAAATTTCGGATTTTATAAATGACTCCAAAAGTTTTTGGGAGCGCGTAACGAAATGATCAATGAATATCATACCCTGTCGAGGGAATGCTCTAGTTCATGATACTGCAGGCCCTTTTGCACCAAGGATACCAGAGCATGAGTTTTGATGTATGGGGCAAACGGCAAACTCTGCGGGTCTTGATTCCACGCGCGCTGTAAGGTGAGTGCAGCCTCGCCATGCCCTGTGGGAAAGTTAGTTTGCTGTTCCCATGAAGAAAGGATAAGCAGCAAATGATGGGGAGAGAATAATACCAGATTCTTGAAGATACCTATAAAGAAGTTAGCAATGCATACAAACCGCCGAGAAGCCCAATGACGCAGCATGGTAGGGATGTGTTACGGCAGAAGGAGGTTGGAAAGGGACTCTGATACATACCTCCATATTAGGTAATTGACGTGATGCGATGTGAGATCGGGTTGTGCCATTGTTACATGTATGACAGCTAGTAAGGTGGAGGGTCCGCTAGCATGCCAGAAACGAAAGGCTTTCTCTGTGAAAAGTAGGAAAGGAATAAGGCGGGGATTGCTGCAAGGCAGGGACTGGAGGGTACAATGGTCCAAGATGCTGCCAAGTCAAGCTCACAAAAGGTTTGAATGGGGTATAAGACTCTGCTAACAGCTTCCCTCTCAAACAGAACCTGAATGAGAGACAGGAGGTCTCTGGACGAGAGGGGAGGGTCCGAGTGGGAAAGATGCAGCCAAGGCTGTGACAAGGGAGACGTTCAGTTCAGACGGTACTTGGGAAGGGCGGACGTGAGTAAAACACGAAAAACGCAGGCTGGCGGACTAGGCGTGAGAAAAACTAAACCGAGGACCAGTAACAAAAGCACATCCTAAATGCGCCTTGTTGCCGAACGGGTTGGTGAAAGGAACACGAAAGATTGTTCTTTGAGACAGAGAGACAAATTGAAGGAGAATGGAAGAGAGGGAGAAGTGAAGAGCGAATAATATCGGGACGGGAGGAAATCGACACCAACGTGTGGCTTAAAGATAGCAGACCCGCTAGCGAACTGCAAAGGCCGGAGGAGCAACACCAGAAACTTTCGGGGAGGGGAAGAAGGCGGATGGACGGACTGACGGAGGGGGGAGAGAAAGGGAGGAAGAGAAGCAGTTCAGATCCGAGCGGATGAATGAAACGAAATGATGGAGAAAGAGAGTTATGGGACCGACAGACAAGCCAGACAAGACACGACCGGCCGATGACCCCAGGGAAGCGTATGAGGAACTCCCGTTAATTAGTGCCAAAGGTAGTTCGAACAGACCAGACCAGGTAAGGTACGTAGTTAGGATCGTGGAGGTGGTAGGGGTCGAGAAGACAAGGTGAGGGTAGGTTAGTCAGTGTCAGTCAGTTAACGTAACTAACTAGTGAGTTAAGTTAACTAGGTTAGCAGGTACCTGGTCGACACTTTTCGACAACTCGACAGTTTTGACCCTCGCGACAGACAGACAGACAGTCAGACAGACAGACAGTCAGTCAGTCAGTTTCCACGCCGCTGTGAAGGTCCGTCTAAAGGTTTAGTCAAGAATTACGGGTCCAACCACGCCCAACCAGGCCAAGGGTAAAAAGATGCAAAAAAAGGAAAAAGAAAATTCAAAGCTGGAATTTCTCCAGGCGCGGCTCTGGGACGCTGTTTCAGACGCTGAACGCACCGGGAGTGGACATTTTGGGCCTGGGACTTTTTCGGGGGGTGGGCTTGACTCGTTGTGGCGTCTAGGCCACGGCTAGCGTGCAGCTGCCCTCCAACCCACTTTGGGGCCCCTGGTCCATCCCAACTGGTCCAACTGCTCCATTCGGTCCTTCTGACGGCCTCCCGATCGGCCACTACGCTTGCCCTTTTCCGGTTAGCCGGCACCGGCCCTTTCATGGTTCGATTGGCTCTTTCCCTTTGTCGTTCGCAGGATTTCTGTGCATTTTTCGCATTTTGCGTGGCTTTTTCCCTTTTTTTACCATTTTCTTTGTATTAATTTTCTTTTTCTTTTCTCATTTTCCCCTTCTTGGAGTTGCCGATCGTGGCCCGTTAGATACCTTAGGCAGGATGTCGGTCTTGTACCTACTGGGCTGGTACCTACAGATGATGTCGCTTAGTTCTTACCTTGTTCATCTGCAGAATTAAGACTGCCTATGAAAATCATACTTATATTTGAGGGGCGATATTCTCACTGACTTTCGGAGAATATGGACTATTCTGAGGGATCAAAGTACCCTAATGCAGTCCTAACACTAACTACCCTGAGTTAGTAGTGTCCTTCATGTCAATGATTCAAATTGTCCTGTGCCAGCTGATAGCCTGGATCTAAATCTGGGGGCAGTTCACCCGTCTGCTAGGAATGCCGATCAGTTGTACATCCTTCTGGAGTTCTGTACATGCATGCATTGATGATTGTGGGCTGGAACCCATTCCACCCCGCCGGCAGACAGCTGCTGTGAAGGTCTTTCCGTACAACTCGAGTCGCGGTGCTAAGCAGTCGAAGCTTGCTTACCTTAGCTGCACTTCCTTCGCTTTTTCTTCAGTGGTCGGTCCACTTCGAAAGTCTGGCGGGTGGGTAACTAGTAGGACATCACTGCAAATCTCCCTTGGGCTGAGCCACACCCCAGCGCTTGAGCCACACGTGACCCGTGCGATCGGTTTGATCTCAATTTCTCTCCTGACTTGGATTGTTTTGTCATGCATTCTCTAGAAGACTTCCACCAAGCCAGGGTGAAACCTGAGATGGGGCTTTATTGGGGAGACCCGGAAGCTTATTGAGCGGAAATGGCGCTGATGGTTTCTTCACTGGTAGTCAGTCCATGACCAGGCTGATTCGTACTTGGATTTAATATGAATCGTAAATCATCAGTAGAACCATTGTCTCAAGCGACTGGTGTCTGTCAGCAGATCTTGTCCCACACCCACACTCCAACGCCAACTTATCCTCCGCAACAAATCCAATGATGGTATGGAGTACTCCATAGGCAACCCCTGGTCATCCATGTTTCCCGATGACTGGATGCATTGTTCCCTTTCAATGATAACAAATGCCACGGGCGGAGGCATGAATGGCGGCCTTGCGGATGCCATGCAAGGTGTCCAATCAGAGAGACGCGATCCCGTCCTTGCAGGCTTGTCCGAAAATGGAACTCCCCCCCAACGCCGCCCAGAGCGACTAGTCACAGCCAGTCCAGCTCGTAGTACGGATCATCTGGTCTGGATGCATTACACTTCCCCTTCCCACTCTTCTTCCTTTCCCCCAACCCCCGTTGGGCTCTGTCAACAGCCTGCGGTTTAGCAGCCGCAAGAGCGTCCTCTGCCACCATGGCGCCTCGAGTCAATATCCCTCCAGCGACCCGCATCTGTCTTATCAGTCTTCTCACCCTCTCCTTGCTGTATAATATCGCCCGATGGCGGCAACTTGACACCACGCCCGGCGCACCTGCCATCACCCCGATCATACCCTATTTGACGCTCGTTCCTTCACAATTTCTTTTCTATCCGTGGACCCTCCTTACCGCGACACTTGTGGAGCAAAACATCTTCACCGTGCTTTTGAACGCGGCCACTCTCTTTTATGGCGGGAAATACTTGGAGCGCGCATGGGGATCCCGGGAGTTTGCGAAGTTCATCCTCGCCATCGCAGTCATCCCGAACGTAACGATCGTTCCGCTTTATATTCTAGGAGCTGCCCTTAAAAGTGGCTCCAGCAGCGGGTACGCCTTGTTTTCTCATGACGAATGCACAACATCTTGCGCTTTCCTTACTGACTCACCGACTTCAAGCCTCACGCAGATATGCGGCGGTATCTCGATTCAAGCATCCTTCTTGGTCGCCTTCAAGCAGCTCGTCCCGGAGCATACGGTGACTATCTTCAAAGGCTTGGTCAAAATGCGGGTGAAGCACTTTCCCGCGCTGTTTTTGTTCCTGAACACCATCAGCGGAATTGTCTTCGGCACGCATGTCGCAGCGATTCTTGCGTGGCTCGGCCTCTTGACAAGTTGGACCTACCTGCGCTTCTTCAAACGTCAGCCTGACCTTACTGGCACATCGACCGACGGGCTAGGCATCAAGGGTGATGCCAGCGAGACTTTTGCATTCGCATGTCTCTTTCCGGATGTGCTTCAGCCGCCAATCGCGTTCCTGTCTGATCAAGTTTATGCTCTCCTGGTTGCCATCAGGATCTGTACACCCTTCTCCGAGGAAGACATTGCCTCGGGCAACCAGCAGGTTCTGGCACGGGGCGAGGCAGGTCTTCCCAGTATTCTTTCCAACCATCGCAACGGACGGGCCATGGCGAAGCGGGAAGAAGCAGAGCGCAGACGTGCTCTAGCACTCAAGGCCCTCGACCAGAGACTTCAAGCAGCTGCTGCGGGAAGAGTGCAGCCGGCGACGTCTGCAGCGAACCAGCAAGGATCCAGCCATGCTCAGACTCCGACACCTACGGTTTCAGCGGGCCAGAGTATGTTGGGAGAAACAAGCTACACCCCCGACCATGCGTGAAGCTGCAGGAACTCTACAAAGCATGGTTTCACGGAGTTTGGTTGGTCGTTTGGGATAGAATGCAAAGGCACAATGCAACGTAAAGTGTTTCTGATGTTCAGTCTTGCTGTGATATACCGAACTTGGACTTGTCTTTTGCAAGGAAATGAGGTCTTCCCAGCAAGTGCAATCCCGTGACATGGGGCGGGGCTTGTTGGCCTTCACTGTACAAAATGTCTCCCACATTTTTCTTTTCCAAAATGATGAATGAACATGATCACATACATATACACTAGTGCAAAGCCAGTGGAAGGAAAATAGTAGACCACTACACTAATCAACATCCTTAACAATGCCATATACCCATGGTTCCAAAATTCTACTCATACCAAAGACTGAACAAGGACAACAGTCCATGATGTATACTAGCAACTGAAAGAAAAGGAATTCCCAAAACTACATAATCGAACAGGAATAATACAGAGAAAAATGCTATGCTACAAGACACGACGCCCCAAGGTCGTATAGTATGTTCCCACACAAGCCGTTCGAACCACACTCAAAAGATCCCTCACAACTGCCTCAACTTCTCCACCTCACCTCTAGCCTCCTGCAACATACGTTCCTGATCCGCCTTAGCCTGGCGAATAGCCGCTATGCGCGCCCGGTCCTTATCACTCTGCTGCTTCAACTGCTCCAACTTCTGCAACTCAGATTCCTGCTCCGGAGTAGCCTGAATCTCCTGCGCGCCCGTCATGTTCTTCACCTTGGCCCAGATATCCTTGTAGTCGAGGTTCTTCACATCCAGGACAGCGGTCTGCTCCGCCTCCCCGGGGGCCGGGGCATGCTTGTCCGTGACGTCCTTAGCGGAGAGCAGGGATGCGGCGTTGCTGGCGCGCTCGGCGAAGTAGATCGTCAATGCGGCGGGACCGTCTTGTTCCTCTGTTTGGCGCACAGTCATGGGAATCGCTGGGTTGTGGTACTTGAGGCGCGGGAGGCAGTTGCGCCAAAAATGTCGCGCGCCTTGGTGCCCGCCGTAGATCTTGCGGGCGTATGTGAGGTGCAGCCGCGTGATGGCGGGGAATTCTTTCGAGGCGGTTGAGACGGTGGGGAGAGTTGCGGCTCCGGCGCCGACTTGGATGTTGAGAAGCTGGAGGTGGAAATGGTGTTAGTAGGGTTGGGGTTGATGGATTGGATCGAATGGTTGATTGATTCCGATATGGGAGGGATATCATCGGTGGGTAGGTATTGGGATTGTCGGAATGTATGGGGGTCAACGAAATAAGGATGACATTGTAGATGGAGAACATACCCTCTGTGAAATGGTCAGGTCAGCATCTGGGGTCATTGATAATGGGTGATGGTGGTCAACTTACGGTTTTCAGCTTCCGCATCCGCTTGAATAGGTTGACCATTGTGACGGTTGGAGCGCCTGAGCGACTACTTTTTGATGGGAGATATGTCAAGAGATGGGATTTTCAGGTCGCGCCCGGCTGTAATTGATCTGGATGGGCCGACAACGGGGTGGTTAGATGGCTGCTGATTCGGAGCTGTCTCCCGTTGATTTTTGGGATCCCCGGCGGAAAGAAAAGCAGCCGATATCAGATCACGTGATGCTAAGATATTGTGCTGCGGCGATGTTGATGATAGTATGTCACTGAATGACAACTATGGGCGATGACTCTTCTGTTTGGGACTGGACGCCTTACTACCTTCCAATTAAAAGATTCCCCAGCCTTCCCTCCAATCTGTTGTCTTTTTCCGAAGGATTGCACTTGTACCGATTCTATCCCTGCCCGCTTAAGCCTTCCAAAACACCGCGATGACTCCAACATCCACTGTCCACTTCTGGAGATTTACCAGAGTTGTGACTCACAACTTCAGTCAAGCATTCCACATTCAAGCTCCATTTGTTATCTATCAATCATTTGAAAGAGGCTGAGCAGTGAAGCCATCGCCCTTCATACTGGGATATCCCCATGCTCCGATAACGGTTGAGGCAGGCGGTGACTCACGGACCGCCTTTTCCCACATTCGGAGTAATTCTTTTCGACCCCGCGGTGACTCCAGACTCGCTCGATCTATATAACGCTGCCCTTTCCCCTCCTCGTCCTCGGGCTCATTATCTCCAGTTTGTCAGATCTATCCTTCTACATCCGGAGCCATGGCAGCCGCCGCCGCCGCTGCGTCTGCAGCTGCGCTCGAGCAGGGCACGAAAAACACCATGAAACTCGAGAATGTCTGCCTCACATGCCCCTCTTTGTCTCCTCAGAAAACCCCATATGACCTGGACTAAGCTGACCATTCATTGCCCGCATAGACCGAGAAGAGAGATACCCTCATCGCCCTCGAGAAGAAGTACCAGGCCCAATGGAAGGCAAACAAGGTCTTTGAGGTCGATGCCCCCTCCGAGACGGAGGTGCCTTTCGGCAGCATGTCCGCCGCTGAGCTCCGTGAGAAGCACCCCAAGTTCTTCGGAACCATGGCCTACCCCTACATGAACGGTACCCTCCACGCCGGTCACAGTTTCACTGCTAGCAAGGTCGAATTCATGACCGGTGTTGCTCGTATGGAGGGCAAGAGGGCCCTTTTCCCCCTCGGATTCCACTGCACTGGCATGCCCATCAAGGCCTGTGCCGACAAGCTTCGGGATGAAGTTGCCAAGTTCGGCAAGAACTTCGAAGGCTACAGTGAAGAGTCTGAGGAGCAGGATAAGGCTGCGGTTGCCGCTCCCACCCAGGAGGTTAAGGCTGAGCAGGAGAAGTTCTCCGGAAAGAAGAGCAAGGCCGCCGCCAAGACCGTTAAGATGAAGTACCAGTTCCAGATCATGTTGGCTATTGGTATTCCCATTGAGGAGATCCACAAGTTCGCCGATGCCGCTCACTGGCTCCAGCACTTCCCCCCTCTCGCCATTCGTGATCTCGACAGCCTGGGTGCCCGTGTTGACTGGCGCAGACAGTTCGTCACCACTGACGCTAACCCCTACTATGACGCCTTTGTGCGCTGGCAGATGAACCGCCTTCACGAGTTGGGCAAGATCCAGTACGGCAACCGTTACACCATCTACTCTCCTAAGGACGGACAGCCTTGCATGGACCACGACCGCACTGAGGGTGAGGGTATCGGTCCCCAGGAATACACCGCTATGAAGCTCAAGGTCAAAGAGTGGGCCCCTGAGATCGCCGAACTGGTCAAGGGCAAGATTGAGGACGACGCTAATGTCTACTTCGTCCCCGCCACTCTGCGTCCGGAGACCATGTACGGACAGACCTGCTGCTTCCTTGGCCCCAAGATCACCTATGGTCTCTACAAGGTCAAGGAGAAGGAATACTTCGTTGTCACCAAGAGGGCTGCCTGGAACATGGCCTTCCAGGGCTACTTCTCCGATGGCGAGAAATTCCTTAAGTCCCAGGACCAACTGCCCCTTGTCGTTGAGGCTCCTGGAACCGCCTTTGTTGGTACTCTCGTCAACGCTCCTCTCTCTTTCCACACTGAAGGTGTGCGCATCCTTCCCATGGAGGGAGTCTCCGCCAGCAAGGGTACCGGTGTCGTCACTTCCGTGCCCTCGGATTCCCCCGATGATTACGCCACTCTGATGGATCTCGCGAAGAAGCCGGAGTACTATGGTATCAAGAAGGAGTGGGCTGAGCTGGAGATCTTCCCTCTCATTGAGACTCCCACGTACGGAAACCTCACTGCTCCCGCCCTGGTCAAGCAGCTTAAGATCAACTCTCCCAAGGACGTTAACCAGCTTGCACAGGCCAAGGAGCTGGCCTATGGTGAAGCTTTCTACAAGGGTACCATGATTGTTGGTGAGTACAAGGGTCAGCCCGTGAGCGCTGTCAAGGAGAAGATCCGTAAGTCTCTCTACGAGAGCGGAGATGCCTTCCCCTTCGCCGACCCCATGGGCAAGGTCGTCAGTCGCAGTGGCGATGACTGTGTCGTTGCCTACCTCGGCCAGTGGTTCCTGAACTACGGTGAGAACGATGCTGAGTGGCAGAAGACCACCCTGAACCACGTTGTGAACACCCTGAACACCTACTCGAGCGAAACCAAGAACGGTTTCGAGAAGAACCTGTCTTGGCTCAACCGCTGGGCTTGCGCCAGAACCTACGGTCTGGGTTCGAAGCTGCCCTGGGACAAGCAGTTCCTTGTTGAGAGTTTGAGTGACAGTACCGTCTACATGGCATACTACACCATCGCCCACTACCTGCACGGCGACCGCTACGGTAAGGAGCCTGGTTCCCTGAACGTGAAGGCCGAGCAGATGATCGACGAAGTCTGGGACTACATCTTCACCAGACGTGAGCTTAGCGATGAGCTTGTTTCCAAGAGCGGTATCAGCAAGGAGGCTCTGCAGAAGATGCGCAGAGAGTTCGAGTACTGGTACCCTCTGGACGTCCGTGTCTCCGGAAAGGATCTCATCCAGAACCACTTGACCTTTTTCCTGTACATCCACGTCGCCCTCTTCCCTCCTGAGTACTGGCCTCGCGGTGTCCGTGCTAACGGACACTTGCTGCTCAACGGTGAGAAGATGAGCAAGAGTACGGGTAACTTCCTTACCCTGAAGGATGCTGTCGACAAGTTCGGTGCCGATGCTACCCGTATTGCCTTTGCCGATGCTGGTGATGGTATTGAGGACGCCAACTTCGAGGAGACCGTCGCTAACAGCAACATCCTTCGTCTCCACACTCTCAAGGACTGGATGGAGGAAGTTGTCAAGGACGAGACCCTGCGTACCGGTCCGGCCGATGCCTTCTGGGACAAGCTCTTTGACAACGAGCTCAACGGCCTTGTCCGTGAGACTAAGAAGCACTACCAGGAGTAAGTCACTTTGCTATCCCCGATAATCCTGCAACCACTCGTCCACATGATGTTCGCATATTCTACGTATTTGCTACTTCAGAGCCTTTCACGGCCATGAGACAAACATCACCACATGCCTGATGGACAACTTATTAAACAATACCGTTTTGCTGCATTTGGCTTCTACTTGGAATTTTACGAGAAGCTAACTGTACTTTTAGCACCAACTTCAAGCTCGCCCTGAAGTCTGGTCTGTACGACCTGGTCAGCGCCCGTGACTTCTACCGTGAAGCCACCACCACTGCCGGCATCGGCATGCACCGTGACGTCGTCCTCCGCTACATCGAGCTGCAGGCACTGATGATGGCCGTCATTGCTCCTCACTGGTCCGAGCACATCTGGCTCGAGATTCTGAAGAAGGTTCGTACCTACCCCCACAACACCACTTCATCCCACCACTACTAACGCCCCATCCAGCCCTCAACCATCCACCACGCCCGCTTCCCCGAGGTCCCCGAGCTCTCCCTCGAGCTGTCCGCAGCCCTTGACTACGCCCGCTCGACCACCTCCAGCATCACCTCCGCGGAGGCCAACTTCGTGAAGAAGCTCTCCAAGGGCAAGCAGACTGCCTTCGACCCCCGCAAGCCCAAGAAGCTCAGCATCTATGCGGCCAAGAAGTTCCCCGTCTGGCAGGAGAAGTACATCGACCTTGTGCGCGAAGCTTTCGACGCTGTCAGCATCTCCTTCAACGACAAGGAGCTGAACGCCAAGGTCGGCAAGCTCGGCGAGATGAAGAAGGCCATGCCCTTCGTCCAGAGACTCAAGAAGCGTCTCGTTGTCGACAAGGAAGTCCCCGAGACTGTCTTCGACCGTAAGCTGCCTTTCGATGAATTCGCTGTCCTCAGCGAGATGGTTCCTGCTATTAAGCGCGTTACTGGCGCCAAGGAGTTGGAGATTGTTGCTGTTGATGAGGGTGGTAAGACTGGTGAGGTTGTGGGTACTGGTGAGAAGAGGGAGGGATTGCAGGCTGAGAATGCCGTTCCCGGTCAACCTTCTTTCAACTTTGCCAATATTGAGTAGATGATGAAGATGAAGATGGTGATGATTATACATGATACAGATTAGATGAGATATCTTGATGGGTTTCATGTTTCTCTTTTTTCTTTTGTTTTGTGGTGAAAGATCATAAAATAGCAATTTTATTGGTTCATGTTAGATTTGTGGGTTGAATTGTGATGACGCTGTGTAGTTCAGCTGTTACTGTAGGGTAGGCATGTACTGCCAACAATATCATCATACTCCACCCACATACTTGGTTTTGAGAAGCTCCCGTGATGATGGGAAATACTAACCAGGTTGCTAGTGGCAGCAAATCAAGTAATAAATAGGCAGTTGCAGGTTCACAGGAAGGTTTCACCAAACAAAACTGAGACTAGTTTGTTCACACCAAATGCTTTAGCACCCCAATCATCCTGTAGTATATATCATTAGCATTGTGTACCTTGCCTACAAATCCCCACATGTTCATATAGTAGAACAAAGCCAAGAACTTATTGGTGCAACTTACCTACGCAACCCCTCCCTCAATACATCCTCCTCTTGCGCAAAGATTAGCCTAAACCACCCCGGCACCTTGCCATGCTCTTCACACGGATGCAGGAATACACCTGCATCGACGAATTTCTGAGCGAGGGTAAATTCAGGTGGATATGTGCTGTCACTGCTATCTTTGGGGAGATAGGGTGATAAGTCTATATATATAAAGAAGCCAGCGTTTCTAGATGGAGTATTTATTAAACAATTATAATTTTTTGTTGTAGGTGGGGGGAAGGGGAAAGAAGGAAATAACTTATAAACAGAGCATGTTCACTCACCCTCCTCTGATATAGTTGATACCCTCTCGATCAAGAGTTGACGTTGCAATTCGGTATGTTGAAGCAAGACTTTGTTGGCTCTTGACAGTGAAGTTGCGAAGGAAGTCTTGCTCTTCGAGAATGGTGGTTCCGATTGTTACGGCTGCTGTGGAGGCGCTGTGGAGTCGTCTGGGAGTAGAATCAGTTGACTGCTAATTGCTTCTCAGAAAGGTAGTGGCAGTACTGACAGGATTGCGTTGCAGGACTGCCGTAGGGGTTTGTTCTGCGTAACAAGGAAGCCGAGATGGAGGCCGCCGGACGCGAAGTCCTGAGATTATATAGATTAGACAATGTTTAATGAACAAAAAGACTAAGACGGAAGTATGAATTACCTTGCTGAATCCGTACAACAAGTGCACCAGGTCAGGATTGATCAGCTCTGGGGTACTAAGAGATAATATAGAAGTGAATGGAACAGCATCTGGGTCTCCTGAATCAAAAACGCATGAAGCATAAACCTCGTCGCTGATGAGATGAAGTTGGTGTTTATTGCAGAACTTGAGAATCTCAGTCAGGGTTTCAACTGGATAGCAACGGCCTAGAGGTACTGTTAACGCTTGGTTGTCGATACACGACGAAACGGTTATCTATACCAACTGGATTATGCGGATTCACCAATAGCAGTGCTCGAATCCGGACACCTTTCGCCTGAGCATCCCTCAGAGCCAGTTCATATTTTTCGACAACAGAAGAAGTGAATGCATCCTCCGTAGTGGTATCTGCATATACCATCTGCACACCGGCTTCGACACCATAATCAAGCTCGAATCGCCCATAGGCTGGTCTACTAATTAATATGCCATCACCTGGCTCAGCTAAGGTGAATCCGAGCATGCTCCCTATTGCAGTTGCGCCGCTGGCAACAACGACGGCTTCCGGGTCAATCGGGGTAATGGGGTCGAGTAGGTTGTCCAGATGCGTTGCAACTGCTCTCTGTAGACGAGGGAGGGCATTGTTACCAGAGCCATAGGCAACTGATGCTACGTTGAACTCAACCTAAGGATAGAGAAGGAATTGGTTGGGACTGCCGAGCCCTAGAGAGGAGAAGAGAGAGGGTTGGGAATTGACCTTGGTGTTGATGTAGTTGGCTATTTCTGCGCGCATTGGTGCCTAATTGCTTATCAGCACTGTAATATGACTGCCTCGGTTTCCAAATAGTATACATGCTCTGCCAATGCAAATGAGATCATCCCCGCCGGATTGGTCTCCTTGTCGTACTGGTGCGGTAGAGCATAGCGCCACGGAATTTTGTGCAGTTGCGCATTATTACTGCCTCGAGAAGAGAGCATTATGGGACGGATTCTTTATGGGATATGCCTCTCAGTTATTGAGTGTTGGAATAGAATCGAGGTCAGACTAAGTCTTCGTCGAGGCGAGGTAATTGCTTACTATATAGTATCGGGGTGCTGAAGAGGGGTTGAAGTGCAACCACTGGTGGAAATACTGGTAGGATTAAGTAATAACCTAGATGCTGGCAACGAACTCAATGGGTTGAGAGACATGCAGGTTAAGTTGGAAGCGAGAAGGTGAGGGGAAAAGAATGAAGAGGGAAGAAGCCCACGTGAAGGAAGGCAGTGGATCATGATAATCTAATAATCTGCTCACCAACAATCGATGATCTATTTATACATCAACCACCACCACACAACCCCGAACATTATGATACAGTATTGTTTATCCCTTTCTAGTATACACCTTAAAACACCAATCGCTATGCAAATTATATACTATACAATGCCATCCATTCCGGAAGACCGTCTCAGCCATGCCGGGCTCGCTTCTCCAGCCCAATGTTCTGCCGTCCCCGAGGTCCCTTCGCGCGGTTGTCAGCAACCTTCTTCGCTTCTATGAACTTCCAACATTCAATTGGAGCACGAGACCCAACATGGCGGCCGTGCGGAGTAAACACTTCCACCTGAGGGAACGACTTCGAGGTTTTGTTCTCAGAGTCGGACTCCTTCGCGGACTTGGCTCGAATCTGGACTGTAAGCTCAACCCAGCCGCACCCTTCGATCAAAATATCGGTCGACATGACCTTGTAGGGTAGAGACGGCATCTTTATATGCTTGTCCTCAACCGCCTTGGCGATAGACCTTGGGAGGTGCGATTGAGTCACATCCCATTTCAAGTCGAAAACTCCGGCAGACGAGATAACCTGGCCGGTACCTTCTCTGGCAATGTTGGCCTTGGGGTAAGGGCGCTGCTCCGTTTGCATTTCAATGGCCTTTTCCGTTCTGGTGAGATGTGTCTCAAGCGGGACGAAGCAAGCCGCCATAACTACGTCTTCAGGGTTCACTGGCGTGATCCTGACAAGTCCTCCTCCAAGCAGTAGTGATTGGCCAGGTTTGATCGAAAGACGTTCAGGTTTCTTCCTCTTGGTCATGATCAAATCGCGCTTGAACTCATCACGAACATGGTCGGCCAGCTCGCCACGGTCGAGCCCCGGCAGGTCAATCATTTCTCCCCTTCCACGGCCAAACGGGATACGAATAGGCGATACGGTCGTGCCGGGTAGCGATGAGACCACAGGGAGGATAGGGTAAAGATCCTCCCGAGGCGCAGGAGGTAGAAGACCCTCTGAATCAATAGCAGAGGAGTCAAAGTGGGTAGCCATTCTGGACTCCTCTTCACGAAGCTCAATCAATTCCGCAATCTTCTCAAGATTCCTCGAATCCTTGGGGAAGCAGGCCTCAATAAAACTGCTCTTTCCAACGTTGGCCTTCCCAACCACCCAAATACCACCCCCGTGCTCCCTAATCTCCTCTTTGACTTTCTTCGTCCACCATCCCCGCTGAGCACTAATCATATGCACATTCCCTAAGCGGAATTCCTCATGCGAGAGACCAAACGTATCACGAAGCACAGAGCGTACATACTCCATCTTCGAATCAACCTGCTCCTTCGTAGCCGCCAACAGATCCGACCTGTTGATAACGAAACTGATAGTCGGCAGCTTCTTCCCACTCTTATACTTATAAGTCGCCGAGCGCCGATTCTTCGACCGCGGATCCATAATCCCCAAAGTAGTGTAGATATCCTTCACAACAGACATAGGGAAATCCGCCGCATCCACAACATGATAAATCCGATTATGATTATGAGGCGACTCATCCAGATATGCTCGAAGGGAATCCATAGTCGGCGAAATAGCAGGAACGGCCTTATTATGATGCAGCAGATCATGGCACCTATCGCAAATTGGTACCGGGGCTTTCGACTTCTCCAAATACTTGCCAGCAGTATCTGCCGCTTTCACCAAAGAAGCACCAACTGCACAACAGCAAATAAATAGATTAGCATGGCCCCAAACCATCATACAAGACAAATAGAGAAGACAAAGACTCACACTTCGGCCTCGGCACACTCCCCCCAACATCCGTAAGCTCCAGATACTTCTGAATCCTATCCGCAGCCTTCTCCCCCTCAGCCTTCAACCCCTTTCCCTCTTCTCCATTCTCCTCACCCTCAACAAACTGCTTCGTCTCAGACAACAGCTTCCGCGTCTGTTTCCTAGTCTTCCCATAATATCCAGGCTCACTCGGCTCGACGGTCTGCGCATACGCTCCGCATCCGGGACAACAGACGGGAAGGACAGCCTCTTCAATAACTGGTTCGGCAGACGGGCTTGCGTGAAGCGGAATGCTCGTGGAAAAGCTGCGGGCTACCTCCGGGCGGCGGAAGAAAACAGCGGTTGTGGTTCGCAGAGACGGCTTGGGCAGGCGTACGAGTTGGCGGGATATTTGTAAAGGAGCACGGTGGTACGGTAGGCGCCCTCGCGGGATCATGCGCCCAAGGTATGGCGACATAGTTGTTGAGGTTTGGGGTGTTGGAGAGCTCGGAGGAGAAATGCGATGAAAGTCTAGTTCTAGTTGGTACTGATAGTGAGTGATAGCGGCGATAGCATCGGTGGTCCGCGCGGGCGGCCGGAAAAAAGTTGCTGTGGCGAACTGACACAGACTAGCAGCTTCTACTATGGCTGATAAGAGGATTACAAGATATTGTAAAAGAGATACAGTTGTAGTGAGAATATTATTTTTAATGGAATCTGCACGCTAGCTTATAAAAGCTTGAAATGTAATAACCGTGCTTCGCAAACCCTGATATCAATGACGAGCCAACAACATGAAAAGCAACCAGAACCGTAGACCATACTCCATAATCGCATGAAAAGAAACATTCAATGGCATTCAATCAAGCCTTCGCTTTTCCCTTCCCCTTAGGATCTTCAGCCTCCTCCTCCTCCTCCTCTTCAGAATCACTCATGAACTCATCATCCTCATCAAATCCGATATACCGCCGAGGTGCCGCACTGCGCGCCGGTTCCGACGAGGGTCCAGGCGCATCTTCCATCTCCTGCTCATCATCACTTTCCTCCTCGGAGCTAGAGGATGTCTCCTGTCCACTTCCCTCACTCGGACTGGCACTCGTACTTGATCCGCCCAGAATCGTATCGCGCAGGTTATCCGTCCACATACCGTCCTTCATGGCCATAAGAACCGCCTCTCTCGCCTTCTCATTCATCTCGTCCTTGTCCTCCATCCACTGGCCATCAATCTTCTGCTTGCCACCTCCGTTCTTCAGCTCTTCCTGACGCTTCTCCGCTGCATCAACAACAGCCTGCCACCGGCGCCGGCGCTCCTCCTTCTCCTTCTTGTCCATCTCCGGCTTGAGGGCGAGGTACTCGGCCAATGCCTTGGCTTCGTTGACTGTGCGTAGACGACGGCCATCGAGATTGCGGCTGGATCCATTGTCGTCGCCTTGGTTGCGCTTGCGCTTGCTGGACATGCGCCCACCGGCGGCGCGGAGCTGGGATCCGAAACCTCCTTTACCACCGCATAGGGGGGCGCTGAGGCGGAGGGGGAGGATGGAGGTTGTGGCGAGATTATCATTGCTGCTGATGAGGTAGGATGCGAGGGTTTCGGATGAGGGGAGAAGTTGCTTATTGCTGGTTGTTGTCAAGATCAGTCGATTGAGTGGCAGAGAAGGAGGTAGGTATGAGGCGATTTTGTCGGTCAGGTCTGCGACGCTCGATGATGATGGTAGCGCGAAGGAGAGCGTTGAGGGGAGTGAGAGACCGGGAAAAGTCGACAGGAGAATGTTGACGTTCTGGGACGCCATGGTGATTGCTAGTATCACAGATAACGTCAAGAAAACCGTGAGTAATGTGTCGATTAGTCGAATCGCTGAGGTTATTGACGCTGGTTCAAGGTGGAGACGTTGCTTGACTTGATTGCAGAGGTGAGGCGCAGTTGACTTCATTCAGGATGCGGAGGAGTTCCCGATAAGGCCATTGATGACTAACAGGGAAACCACCTCTGGATTGTCGCCTCAGGCCATAAGAGCATTTTGCACGTGATGCAGCTTATCCGCCTAGCGGAGCGATTAGGGCCCCAACCCTGAAACCGCTTCCCGATGGGGAATTACCGCACTTTTTTCCTCGACCGCAGCCGCTCCACTCACATCAACTACATTTAAACCACCCTCTTCGCGCGTTGTCAAGGCGATTCCCCGAAGAGCGCTAGGAACTCGCGACAATGTAAGTGATGCACCTAATATCGGCCATTGATATCATATAGGATAATGTAGCTAACCCCGAGCCAGGCTTATCCCCAAGGAAGACCGCAAGAAGATCCACGAGTACCTCTTCCGCGGTATGTGAACACCTATGATCCACCGGCCTTGTGTCTCCGAATTGTTGCGCGAGGGTCGATCGATGGATGATGGATGATAGATGAATCAGTGTTGCTGACGGTTGACAATAGAGGGTGTGCTCGTGGCCAAGAAGGACTTCAACCTTCCCAAGCATGGCGACATTGACACCAAGAACCTCTACGTGATCAAGGCCTGCCAGTCCCTGACCTCCCGCGGCTACGTCAAGACCCAGTTCTCCTGGCAGTACTACTACTACACCCTCACCCCCGAGGTATGTTCCATTGATGAAGATGAATGCGTAAGACGGATTGTCTGACTGGTTTTGATATAGGGTCTTGACTACCTCCGTGAGTGGCTCCACCTCCCCGCTGAGGTTGTCCCTGCCACCCACATCAAGCAGCAGCGTTCCCACGCTCCCCCTCGTGGCATGATGGGCGGTGAGGAGCGTGAGCGTCGTCCCCGTGCTCCTCGTGAGGGTGGCTACCGCCGCCGCGAGCAGGACAAGGAGGGCGCCGCCCCCGGCGAGTTCGCTCCCAGCTTCCGTGGTGGATTCGGCCGTGGCCGTGGTGCTCCCTCCTCCTAAGGGGTGTCGCCTGCCGGTCTTCCAAGGGCTTATTGGGATTGTTGCCGGTGTGGCTTGAACGACTTTGAAAGAAGTCGGGAAGCTATGCTATGCACGTCCTAAAAAAGAAGTTATGCCAAGCTACTGTTTCACAGTTATGACATAGTTAGGATTAATGGCATGATTTCATGACTCATTTTGTTATTCATTTCGTAAGATAATTGGCGGTCAAATCTGCTATATACATGCGGTTAATATACCAAAGGCAAGGTTAAAATATACGCAGAGGCGCAGCTCATAGACGCTCGCCATCAACACAGCCTCATTTCGAGAACCTCTTCCGATCATAACGGATCACTGCCTGCAAGATGACTGATGCGCCTGTTGCGCAGTCATCTGCAGAACAGAATTCCTCCGGATGATGGCTCAACCCATCTTTGCACGGAACGAAGATCATGCTGGTCGGGACTCTCTTGGAGGTAAAGACACTATCGTGACCTGCCCCGCTCATGATTGTCCGCATAAGGGACTTGGGCTCCGCAGCATTGACGTCTGAGACGACCGCCTCCGCGGATTGCTGCACGCACTCGATGCAGTCAGGGTGGAACTTGACAGCGGGCGAGTCGAAGTCGAGGGTCCACTCTACGCGGCAAGGCTTGCCAATACCCTTACCCTCCTCTGCAGCGATCGAGTCGAACTCCTTCCTCAATTGATCTTCTACGACCTGGACCAACTCGCTTTCTGGGCCGCGAATGTCGAGAGTGAAGCTGACAGTGCCGGGAACCGTGTTCACACTGCCAGGCTTTGCCTCTACAATTCCAACACTAGCCAGACAGCCGTGGGAGGAGGCAACCTCGCGAGCGCGTACCATCATTCGAGCAAAGGCATAAAGGGCATCTGCGCGGTGTTCGAACGCGGTGGTACCCGTGTGGGTGTCTCTGCCGAAGATTGTAAGGCGGAACCAGCGGTATGCCTGAACGGCGGTAACGACACCAACGTGCTGGCCTGCAGAAATGAGATGGGGGCCTTGCTCAATGTGTAGCTCGAAGTGGGCCGCCATGGGTGTTTGCTTGTATGAGCACGGGACACTTCCGAGATAGTTGATCTTCTCCAACGCAGACTTCATAGACTCCGGGGCAGAAGATGCGGTCGGGAGAGATGCGACTGTTGGGACCTCTTTCAGCCCATGTGCCCGTTCAAGAGAAATGCATTCTGCCCAAACGCCAGAAGACACCATGCTAATAGGGAAACGGGCGCCCTCTTCGCTGTCACAGCGTTAGTCATGAGGGTTGAAGATAATAGTAGTCTGGGCCATACTTTGTCCAATTCACAACACCAATGCCACCCTCCGTCTCCAAATTCATTTCGTCAATTACTTTGAGCGCTTCGATGCCGGAGAGCACACCCAAGATTCCATCATACCGGCCACCTGTTGGCTGCGTATCCAGATGGCTGCCAATGAAAGTGGGTGGCACGTCGGTCCGTCGTCCAGGGCGAACAGCGAAGATGTTGCCCATTTCATCGACCGTAACTTCGCATTTCAATGCCTTCGTTGTTTCGATGAACCAATCCCGTACTTGCTTGTCTTCCTGTGACAGCGCGAGTCGCTGCATACCAGTGTCTGTGTGCCCACTGAATTGCTGTTAGACATTCGCAATCCATGGTAAAGCGCAGGCCATTGGGTACGAGAAGCAGTCTCCTTTGCATGCATCTCGAAAGTCCGCTTATAGTGAATCCAAAGGGTGTCGCAGTAGCACTTACTCTCCCCAGCGAATACCATATCCCCACTGACAGCTATGATGAAGGTCCTTTGCCAAGCGTTCTTTATTGGCCCTGAGAGCCGAGACCTCAGCCTCGGTTAGCTCTGTAGACAGCATGGTGTGAGTCGGGATAATTGAGAAAGCTCGACGTGGTGTGAACGCGGGTTTCACGAAGGCTGGTCTTGTCTGCCTTGATAGGATCCCAGTAACCCTGACAGCAGGTAATGTTTGGTAGAAGATGAAGGCCATCTTGACCTCAAATGGGCGCCCAAGGGGCTATATCTAGTTCAATGGCCTTGGAGACCCTTCCAGATAAGACCGCCAATCGACGGTATGATAAGATAGCTGGGTGGGGTTGAGCTGGGGTCTCGGGCTTTCCACCGAATCAGATATCCGCGGATTTGGGTGACGATAAACCGTTTCCTCGTACCCCAACTCCCTCGGGTCGCTTATATAGGAAGGTACAAGAGTAGCTCGGCAATGGACAACTCCGTGAGGGGCAGAGAAGGCTTTCGGGTCACGGTTGGCCTGTTTCATTACTGATTGACAGGGCGTGGAGCAGTTGCGGTAGTGGGTGTAGGGACAGGCATGTATTACCAGTCCTTGCTGCAACAACAGGTTGAATCGTCTATACTATGGACGAAAGTGTTTTGTTCTCATTGTAGGCTTCAATGCCATATCTATTGCACAGTCTAAGGCGTTCAAGTTGCATAGATCTGGCTAAGAGGACGATTGTATCCACAAGGATGATTCAAACAACCGACATGTGCTGTTAGAGACACAAGGGAGGGCGTGCGCTTGCGGAAGACTCAATCAGTGCTTTAATTGACGGAAGAGATGCCCAGTGGCTCAATGTCTGATGGAAGTCGACTGCTTTAGGAGATTGCCGGCAATGATGTGTGCCCCTAAGCCTTATGGACTTGGTCGCTCAGCGGACCTTCATGAGGAGTTACGCACACAGCCCCTGATGATAAAGCGGACGCACCACTTTCACAAGAATCACAATAAAATGGCCTAGAAAGTTGCAAGAAAAGAGGAGCATAGACTACTCACATCATACAATAACGACCAACAAAAAGAAAAACAATAAAATCGACAGCTGTGTCGATGGGTGATTCCAAAGATTGATGAGAGGAGTCTTTTGGGCAAACCACGGCCATCTCTGGTAAAAGGCAAGAAATGGGTTCTGAGCTAGTTTGTCCCACTCCTCGCAGATTGAACCTTTAAGTGCTTCTTATAGTGCCTTTCATCATCCACCCGCCGCAGTTCGAGACCCCGCCGGCGCGAACTTTTTATTGACGTTTCTTTTCGTCTTGTTCCGCCTTGCGATTGCTAACCCCGCATTCAGTCATTGCGACCTTCAATTCCCCTCAGACATACATTGATTTCCATCAACGTATATACTCAACCCCGTCATACAAGATGTCTTCCGCTGCCTGCATCTTCTGCAAGATCATCAAGGGTACGGTGCCTCCTTAACCTGTACATTTACAAATGTTACATTCTTGGTTCTCCAAATTGTGTCCGCTGCTAGCAGTGATCCGATCCGGCTAACCCCGACGTAAACAATAGGTGATATCCCTTCTTTCAAGCTCTTCGAGAGCGACAAGGTCTTTGCCTTCCTCGACATTCAACCCCTTAGCCGTGGACACGCTGTAAGTGTCGCCACCCCTGTTTTATGAACCGCATATACACCACCGCCTCAAGTATACCCCCGCACGACATGTCGCATTCTGTTCCCTACCTGGAGACAGACAGTCAACGGTCATCCAAAACAAGCAGTATACCCATGAATATCTTCAGAAAATCCGATCCCGTCCCCAAATAGCTCCCTAATTTTCACATATCCCCCCCGTCCCCCCAAGGACCAAAGAAGGAACCAGACAAAGCTAACAACCAATCTGCAAAACACAGCTCGTGATCCCCAAGTTCCACGGTGCCAAGCTCACCGACATCCCCGACGAAGATCTTCAGGAAATCCTGGTACGTAGACAGTACGGACATGCACATTTGAGATAAGCTCAGCGCTCGATCCGCATGCTTTTATAAGGTCCCGCCTGATCGTTGCGAGCACTCCCCTCTTTCAGTCTTCCCCGCAACCAGCTGGCTAGCTAGCTAGCTACAGAGACAGATACTAATAAGTCATCTTTCCAAATCGGACAGCCCGTCGCGAAGAAGATCGCCAAGGCCACCGGCGCCGAGGACTTCAACGTCCTTCAGAACAATGGTCGCATAGCGCACCAGGTAGTCGATCATGTAAGTTGCTAGCTTACCATGGAAGTGTGAGGTATTCAAAGCTGATGTTCGGTGTTTTCCAGGTTCACTTCCACATGGTATGTTTAGGATTTACTATCATTCGTCTATGCAGCTGTTCAGAGAGAATATCGATCCCCCACAACCCTGATGATAATATCACTGACAAAAACGACGAAATAGATTCCCAAGCCTAACGAGAAGGAAGGTCTCGGTATCGGCTGGCCCGCTCAGGAATCCGATATGGACAAGCTGAAGGCTCTGTTCGAGGAAATCAAGGCTAAGATGTAAAAGTGTACGTAGTACAGATATAGCAAGTGCTACAGCTGCGTCTAATTACATACCATGTGCTATTATCAATACTGTCTTCACAATATGATTAACTGTACGGTACATTCTGTAGTTATAACGTAGAAAACTATACCTAGCTTCGGTGGGTCGATTGCATCTATCAAGAAAAGTCCATTGCTCCATTGAAACCACTAGGAGAACCCCGCAATCCAAGTATACATGCTTCATGACAGACAAGTAGAAGCTGTATGTACATGCCTCACCAATGTGAGCGTTATTATAACAAGTAGTCTTCTATCAACACACTCTAGCAGTCTATCGTATACCAAGGCGTGGGGTATATCACTCGGCCTTCTCGCCGTTAAGTGCGTTTCCCTCAACCTTGCTCTTCGTGGGATAGAACTCGATCTTACCCTCACCTTGGATGACATCTAGTCTATCATACAAGGAAGTGGCTCGAACGTATGGGTCAAGCTGCCAGTACTGGACCCTTAAGCGTTCGATCAGGTCCTTTCTCCTGTCTACCGCCGCCTTGAGGGCGCTCTCGTCCTTTTTCATTGTCGAAGAGATCCAGTCGATGGTGGCGCCTTGAAGCTCCTGCGCCAGCTGCTGTCTCTCGGCCAGCAATTCGTCGCGCTTGGCACTGTCCTCCTGAGGCTTGTTCTCATCGGGCTGGGGCTCGACATACTTGTAGGCCCAGTTCTCGTCACCCTCAAGCTCTTTCATAATGCGATCTTTGGGAATGAACTTCTCCAGATCTTGGACATTCTTGGTGAACTGGATCTTAGAGGCGACGACAGGGTCGAGCCAGCCCTTGATGATATTCCAGATACCTGTAATCGATGTTAGAGGGGATTTTGTGAGTACCGAGTCTAGATAACTAACCTGAGAAGATCCAAGGAGCTTTGTGAATCAAGACAACTCCCAGACACTCTGGGTAATTGGCTTCAAAGCACTTGATCATATACTTCACCGGATGATAATCCTATGACCGTTAGAATTAGGAGCTATTGGTCGCAAACAGGTGTGCTTACCATGTTTGCTAAGGAGAAGTCGGTCATGTCGAAGACAACACACTATTTCCCTGTCAGTGGATAACGCCCTTACCATGGGGCAGTATACTCACAGCTGTTTCAACTGGAGGCGCAAGCATCATTCGAGCGGTCTCAATAGTGTACACCGTGAACCGGTCCAAGGCTTCTGTCTCCTGGTCGGCGGCCTTGTGCAAGCGCACTCTCACGACGCAGATCGGACGGCCAAGCTTGTCCACACCGTGGAGGAAACTTTTACCCATGCGCATCTGCAACAAAAAGTCTTCACCGGCCTTCTTCTCAGCGGGATCAGAACTCTGAGATTTCTTCAGGGCACTTTGCTCGCCATTCTTCATAATATCCTCATCCAACTTAACGTCCAGCAGTCTCCAGCGAAGCGTAGAGATCAACATGACCAGAGCATTTTTGACGTCCCACTTTCGCGCGCGCAGGAATCGCAAGAGCAGAGAATCGGGGTTGTCATGCTTAACCATATTCCAAAGAGTCACCCGAATCTCCTCAGGCTTCATATCCACAAGAGCCTGCTGGAACTCTTTTGACTGTCCATACTTGTCATCTCCGTCGGCGATGCTGATAGAAGCGAGACTCGAAGCGATCCCGTTGGTTCCCTTGTCGCTAGCGCTATCTTCCTCCTCATCCGTGTTGCTCCGCCCGAAAAGACCGAACCGACTCCGTTTAGACTGCTTCTTCTTATCTTGGGGCTGGCTTGCCGCCGCAGCAGCAGCGTCGCCGTTCTGCTTTTGGACCAGCTCAACAGCATCCAGATTGACACCGCAGACCTTCAGCAGCAGGACCCAAAGCTCTTGTAGCTTGGCTTCCTGCTCTGGTGTGAGATTTCCCACGGTCCCAGGTGGTAGATCCATAGGCATTGTCTTTAGGGTTTCAATGACTCCGAGAAAGGGTACTTGCGACTCTTGCAAAGGTTCAACAGAGTCGAGAATCGTAGGAATATCGCCTCCCGACTTGCGGTATTTATCCTGCAGCCAGGCGCCTGCTCCGATAAGAAATAGGGTGAATGTGACTGACCAGAACGACGAAGCTTCCCTCGGTTTGTAAGGTTGTGACAACGGCGAAGTGGAGAAGGGTCGTCTGAAGGATCCAGACCGAATCAGAGGACTTTGATTAGAGTACCACGGTGGGAAGATCTGTGCACGTCCTGAATGCAGGAGTCTGTCCGACGCGAACTTGATGGAATTGGCCGAGGATGGAGGTAGACGGCGGCGCAGGAGGGAACAAGCATGCATGTGCTTGTTCGTGAGGGCCAGAAGGCGATTGGAGAAGGACGAGTCAAATCCCAAAGGCAGAGATGCCGGCTTCCTTTTCCTGGTGTCCTCGTGAGTAAAATGGGAGACGAAGATCCGAGCCTAAATTTCAAGCCGGGAATAATGCGGGGAAGGAAGGAAGGAGGCGAAGAGAAGGCGGACGGTGCAGTTCGCTTGGAACCTTCACAGATTCAAGGTTCAGCAACAGGAGACTAAGGGGAACTCACAGCGGTTGGATGCGGCAATAATGGGGAGTGTTGATGAAGCCAGCGAACAGGATGGATTGCCAAGTCTCTTATTTTTCCCAGTCCGCAATCCAATGATGATAATCGCACCAGGGGTCCCTCCGGACTAGACGGAAGAACTAAGTAGTCCTAATTATAGGCTGATTGGGGCATTTTGGGTCGCAGTGGCGCCCCCAGGCAGCAATCTGCAGACACCTGAGGCATGAAAAAGGAGGGTCCAGTGACTCGGCCTTGCCTAAAGCGGGGATCAACATCAACAAACCCAATCTTTCGCAACTCCTTCATACAGCGTGAAACGCAACGGCGTCAAGTCGCATATTTGTGACAGCTTGTCTTCTATACTGTGCTTATTCCTATTTTGTTGCATTAGTGTCTCTCAATCGGCTTAGTTGCAGCCTTCAATTTGGGTACACAGTCTCAGAATCATCATGGATGCTTTTTCCCGCTCATCGTCTCGCCCACGGCCCTCATCGCGACCCACGACCCCCCTAAGACCCAGTTCCCGGTCGTCGATCCGTGAAGCTCATGGTTATGGCAACAGTATTGGTATGGCAGGCTACACCCAGCCTGCCATCAATGCCTTAGAGCCCCAGTTTGCAGAGCTTGCAGACTCCATGGCCGACCTCGAGGCCAACTTCATGCACCTTCAGCTGATGCACGAAAGTTTGACCCGGTTCAGTGAAAGCTTTGCCAGTTTTCTCTATGGTTTGAACATGAATGCGTTCTGTGTGGACTTTCCGGAGGTAATTGCGACGGTGAATAATGTCTGTCTTCCCTCTATAAGCTGACGATCGGTTACAGGCGCCCATTCCCGAATCTTTTCGGAGAGCCAAGCAAGCAGAGGCACAGAATGGTATGGTCACAGCTGCGCGAAAGGGAGATCCAACTACTAATAGCACGCATAGAGGCAGAAGCAGAACAGCTGAAAGCGACCACTGAAGCGGAGATGACATTCATGTGAGATCTGGTTACTCCCCGGGCCAGTTGTTTCATGCTTTTTTGCATCATACTAACGACATGACGTACTTAGGACTACGGATACTTCCTTCATCGAACATCCTCCAAGCACCGTCTCCTCCAAGCCTTCGGCAAAAATCCCAGCCCCGTCGCGTGGCACCACCAGAGGATCTACGCGTGGTTCGACAAGCAGTCGCTATGCGACACGGGGCACCAATCGTGGCGCCCGTCCAAGCGCATTGCCCCGCGGACGAGGATTACGGTGAAGGCAGGAACCCGGATGGTAGAAATTTTGAACAGGGCGCAGACGGTTGAGCCTGAAGAGGCACAAAGACTTGCGCGAAGGGAACGGTTTGCTATTGGCAATCCGTGGAGAATCCCTGCAATTCGCAACGCGCTCCCAAACCTTGAAAGGAACCCCGTTCCTGAAAGAACATACGGCGATGATTGTCGTAACACAAAGCCTGCCGAGCGGCCTGTCCGATCTCAGCGGCTCGGATCTTTCTTGAGGAAATTCTAGCTAGCCCCAGGGTGTAGAGTTAGGGTAGGCTGGCGATAGTCCCGTCTAGTGACCGAAGAACTTTTCCAGAGACTACGAAGAGATCTGGGTCACGTATGGTTGCATTACGAATAATGATCAATGCAAGACGTTCATGTGTTGGGAAGTGGGTGGCCTTGCGGCTCAGATAAGCGTTTGTAGAACCATCGCCCGTCCCCAGAATGACCCACCCCGGGGTCAATGGGGAAAGGCATCGTTAAGTATCAGATGCCCCATCTTCAAGTATGGAGAACGCACGGCCGTGAGCTGCAACTGTATATTATGTTAGGGGGATTCCTCGAGGGGACACATTGAATTAAATTTCCCCGGAAAGGACCCCAACTGAGGAAGCCAAAGAAGCCCCAAGCACGATCTCGGATCAAATGCAGTCCCGGTTTCTTATCGCCCGGAGCCGCGGTCGACCCTTGCGAAAAAAGATCTGTCTTTGCATCCAGCGCCCACGGTGCCTGTCTTCAGGGACGATCTTTACCCGTATATATAATTGACCTGCCTGTGTATTGTATTATCTAGTCTCTGTCGGTCTATTCCATTGGGGTTGTCCTTCCACAATCCCGAACGAGAAGCCAGAGAGGGACCGAGTGACTCGAGGGGGGATCCGATCCCGACTGACTGTGGAACACCCGGTGGCTGCGGAGAAACACTTGAGTGACTGTTGCCGCTCTCGACATTCCACTGCTTCGGTGGCTTTGCTATTGGCACATCTTGTGAAGGTGCATTTCTCTCTTCATCCCCATTGGAGGACCCCCGGCCTCCCCCTAGCATACAGAGCTGATATGATTGATACCTGCAGAGTCCTCCAGGGTAGTCCGATCCATGGATTCCTTCGTGATCTGCAGTTGACCTGCTGAACATCCTTATCATCTCCCCCTCTCTACATTGAGAGAAAAACTGTACTACTTTATAACACACTCCTTCACTCCATCTCGACTGGGAGCCTCACTCTAGGCTGAGCCAGGATAGGCTTCACGTGCGAGGTGTGACACTGTTTCACTACGTTCATTCATATATACCCCACACAATGGCTAGCGTCCTTTCGATATCATTACTCTCTGAGGCCGAATATGGCTGCGGTATGTGAAAAGCATGCGCAGAGCTGTTTTGTTGACCTTTTAGCACCTTTACTGACCCGGTAACAGAGCACCTGGCCACGCAACTGGGGCAGGATGTGAGCACTGCAGAGCAGTTCAAGAACGCATTCCTGAAAGCGCATAATTCATTAGGCCATTTCCCGCGGTCAATGGAGTCATCCACAAAGCAGAACGGTCGTCTCAAAGCCAAGGACTTTCTGAAACCGAAGTACACTTGCTTGACATGCGGTGAAGCGATGCCGATGGGCGGCCGGAAAGCTCACACCGAGAAGACCAGCCATCAGTTCTGTAAGTGGCTCTTGCCTTTTCCTCTCAATGTTAACTGACAGTGTTCGAGACATGGAGTCGCGAGCCCGCACGGTGTATTGCCAGGCTTGTGGTGATTTCGTCTACGACCACGGCCTCGAACGACTTCGGTGCTCGACAACAGAAAGTGCTCTTCAAGGTTAGCATCTAATTGACTCTCGCGCTTATTATAGCACTAACACGACGAAGTCGCCAAGAAGCGTCGCTTCAGCGATAGCTCTGCGGACGAGCTTTATATTCGGAGCAATGCCAGCAAGCGTCCTTGCGCCAAACAAGGCGTCAGGGGCTTGTTCAACCTGGGGCAAACCTGCTATTTGAATGTCATTCTTCAGACCCTTCTGCACGACCCGATACTCAACACGTACTTCCTCGGGAACGGTCATCAACCCCACGACTGCACTGCCTCTGACTGCGTAGGATGTGCAGTTGCTGAGGCTTTTGCGGATTTTAACAGCAGCGACAAACCGGAGGGTTTCGCGGCTCTCAATCTTCTTCTAGCATCATGGCGTGCAAGTTCTGTATGTTACCAGGTACATCATTTTCTTATCAGCGACGCTAATGGCGATTCATTCAGACTTTGGCAGGATATCAACAACAAGACGCACACGAGTATTACCAGTTTCTCGTCGACAAGCTTCACCTTAGTACTGAGAACCACCGAGAAGGCCATGAAAAGGGTTGTCCTTGCTTCTTTCACAAGACCTTCTACGGCAAGCTCCGAAGCAGCGTGACTTGCGACAAGTGTGGTAACGTCACACGAACGGATGATCCGATGGTGGATCTCAGTCTCGACGTTCAAGTGCAGGCGAAGAAACGCGCCATGGGTGGCACAGGGGTTCCGTCGACGCCTACCCTGAGTGGATGCCTCGAAAGCTACACATCTCCAGAGAAACTGATGGCAGGCGTGTATAACTGCAGTCACTGCGGAGGAACGCCGCAGAAGGCGACCAAACAATTGCGCATCCGGAAGTTACCCGCCATTCTGTGCATGCAACTAAAGGTACGGTTTCTCGGCACATTTCCGATATCATAGACGCATACTTACTTGACACAGCGCTTCGAACACACCTTTTCCGTCTCGGAGAAGCTAGAAGGCAAAATCGACTTCCCACTATCGATCAACATGCTCCCATATACGACCAGCCCGCAGGCCAAAGTTGACAGGTCTAGATTCGTATATGACCTCTCATCAGCCGTAGTCCATCAGGGCAAGCTCGATGCGGGGCATTACTACGTCTACTGCCGCCAGGGCGATGATGTGAGTTCTTGACCTGATCCCCTTCCAGGAACTCATTTTTAACCCAAGTCTTTCAGTGGGTGCTCTTCAACGACGACAAAGTCACTGCCGTCACTGAGGCAGAAGTTCTCAACGCTGACGCTTACCTCTTATTCTACAACCTTCGATCACTGGCTTCCGCGCCACAATAGAAGCTACCTATCGTGTACCATCACACCGCATCATCATCACATTGTACTCGGCGGCTGCCTCATCTTCTCGCATTCGGTTTCTCTTCAGCGACTCGGAGTCCACGGCTAGGAGTTGTATTATTATTGTCCGGTTGATTGATTGCATGCATGCTCATGTAGGAGAGCTGTGGCTGGCATCTTCGATCACGGATGCAAGACTGGTGTTGTTGTGTTGCGTTCCTTTGTTTTCTTTGCTTTCTTTCATACGCTCAGTTGCCTATATATAGCGGATAAGTCTGCGCCGTGTGCGTTTAGACTACCTAGTATAGTATAGTAGAAGGCTAAGGTTGCGGGAGTGGTATACATGGCTGCTTAGCTAGATATGGGGGTCAAATACAGACCGTACGGGGTTTCAGTAACGTGATTTTATTCATCTAAATTAAATCCGGGGTCGTCGATATCCGAACTGACATAGGCGCTTTCATGCGAACCAACAATATAACTCCCAGTCATCTACGCTACGCAGGTCCTACAGGGTTGACAGTCGGATGTCCAGAGCAGACGGTATAGAAAACGGCAGCCAACCAAAGGCAGTATGGGCTAATGGCCCAGACCATCCCAACACAAAGTGCACCGTTCAAAAAGCCATCCTAAAGCCAGAGCAGAGCCGCACGCTTCCAAAAGACGTAACCAGCCCATGAGCCCCAGCAGCACCTTGACCTTTCAAAACCAAGCACTTCACCTTTCACGGGCCAAGTGGGGAGAGATGAGACGATTATCAAGAGATCCTCAATTCAATCCGAATCATTACGAATTGCCTTGTTTTAAAGGAAATGAAAAAAAGGAGCTTCGACAAAAGACACCCTTTCTTTAAGACGGTCCACACCAGCCACAACCTAACACACACGTCTCTATAATCTCAAATCCCATCTCTTCCTCATTTTAAAAAGAATATTCCACCTGGAAACAAAAGAAAAACACCATTTTATTTCATTCCATTGAAAGCAAGCCCGGTTCGGATTTCATTTGCGTTTCGATTTCACACACACACTGGTAAAAGAAAAAAGAGGCTACCGTATCCCCCTGTTTTCTTCCTCCGCTAAACCCCGACATGAGACTGTGGGGGATTGTCGGTTTTAATTTGGGTGATATGTGAGAGAATCGAAGCGCCACGAGCACGTTTTAACGAATCATCGTCGTGAATAACGGAAAAATGGGATCGAGGAAGAAGATTCGATTTAACGGTACTGTTTGGGGGTGTGGTGTTAGTTAGGTTTCTTGTCTTCTGGTATGTGTGGCGTGATCGTGTGTATGTGTGGTTCTGGCTCTTTCGATGTCGAGTGGCATTTCAATTCATTCCATTTCCCGGTTCTTCATTGCTTTTCTTTTTTGTCGCAAGTCCCATCTCTTTCGAAAATCCTCCTCGCCATGCCAATGCCATTGCGGATATGATGTGGTGCTGGTGCTGGAATGTGTATACGGGATATGGTGAAACCAACCTTGTGGAAACCGATGTCAGAGGACTTCTCACGGAAGCACTGACGGCAGATGTTCATCTGTACGCAAGAAGAAAACCAGTTAGCCATTGTTCCTGCCCTCTCTATAATTTCGCATCGCAAAGAATCTGGTGATATCCATACCCCGTACTTGCGGATCAGACCGGCGCGGTGGGAGCAGACACGGCTGTATTATTCCAAAACGAATCAGCACATAACTTCCTTCACATTTTCGTAATTCCTCCATTTGTTTCTCTTCGTCTTCAAAATCCCCCCAATCCCCCTAATCTCCTCCTCAGGAATATGTCGCATATACGCACCAAGAACGGGAACCCTTGCCGAACCTGTAAATCACACATCAATTAGCCTCCCACACATACATATCAAATTCGAGGGACATCGTTTTCACTTACTTGCGGGGCCGGCTGTACCAAACGGACTCGTGAGTCATCTTGAATCTGAGGCGAGAGAAACCTGGGGATGAGACGGTGTTTGGCTGGCGGTTTGTCGTCGCTGGGCGTTGAAGGGGGACGGGGATTCAACGAAAAGGTTAGGGTCGAAATTCCGTTTGTGTGTCTTTCCGGTTTCCGTGATGCGGGCTCGGACCATCTCGCTTGATGGGGCGCTAAGCCTTGTTTGGGGGTGGTGGTCATGTGATGTATGGGTTTGGGGTTTTTTTTTGGCTACTCCGGAGGGATGGTTCGGAGGGTGGGTTGTTCCGGCCGATGTATATCAGAATGGAATATGGCAATGTTTGGAGGTTAGTCCACTTAAATTGCAGTATGATGATGATGTCCATAATGGTTACTTGCTGGATGCGGATGCTACTTATGTTATACGGAGCTAAATCTTCGAGAGAGCAGCTGACAGAACTGCTATACTTATCTACGACATCATTTCGGTGCCCTATCTCATCGCCTACCTTGGAGCCATAACAAAATGACCAAACAGAGACGTTCACACTAAACGCCAAATTGTCAGAAAAAAAAAATCACTTTCTATTAATATTTTCCTTACGCAGCCATATATTTCAGTCCGTGTGCCTATCGTAAGCGAGACTCAATGCTGCTTAACACCAACACCACACAATAAGTTAAAGCCATACAATTCAAACTGAGCTTAATGGGCTCAACACATACACACTAACATCCGACCCCGATCATGTCTTCCATATATAATTAAGCGACTACAATAAGCTACCCCAGGATCTACCCAGCCACCCCAACAGACAGATTCCAATATGAGCAGACTACTTCGTACAGAGTACTTACTTCACCCTTTTAAGTAGTAAGCATATTCCTCAATACCAGGACACTACTTACTTTACTACTCCATTGTTCGTACCTCTAGGGTATCTACCCAGTTAGGTAATAGTCTTATGACCCTCCCATGCTCAGTCAGGTACGGAGTACATAGCTATTTTATCTATCAGTACCTACCTCCCAGGGAAAACACACTAAGCTACATGCATTAGGGGCAAAGAGGAAGAACGAAAAATGGCAAAAATAAGGGGAGAAAAGAAAAAGAAAGGAGAAGAAAGAAATAGGAAATAAAAGGGAAAAGCAATTCAGGGGATTTCATAAGGCTTAGAGCTATCGGTGTAAGGCTGGCTAGGTAAGTAGCTAGCTAGCACATGCATCAACTAACTTACTAATAAGTTGTCTAATGGATGGACATTATAGTTAGCACTAGTTAATATCTGGTTGTCACTTAGCCTTTCTGAGGCTCGATGGAGTATGTCTCCTAACCAATGTAAGCTCCGTATAGTATCTACAGGACAGTATCCCACTTCAGGACTTCACTTAATGAGTTCACCACTTGCTTACTTGTGAAGAGGAACCATAACTACAACCAAATCATATTGACCAGTTCAAAGATATGTGGTTAGATCAAATGTTCAGGGACAGTGCAAAGAAAGGTCTACTCTGTAATGACCAACGATCAACAAAGCTGTACTTAGCTACAGGAGAGAAGTAATCACAAGCTAGCCTCCTTAAAACCCGAACATCCGAGTTCCGACGTGATAGACTACTGTGTAGAAACTTGCGTTCGGGACTACCCGCTCGATTGGACCTAATAGGGCTAAGTAGTGATGATCGCAGTAGGCGCGGAACAGGAGAAGTATCTAGCATCTGTCTAGTAGATGTTATTGGTGCTGTGTGTTTAAGCGATTGGTCCGTCTCGCTTGGATCACTGATGATCATCTACTGTGTATGTAGCAGGGTACTTTGTGCCTGTTTGGTAATTCCGGACGCCGATTTTCGGGGGGTTCGTTATTGTTAGGTGACATTGATGTGGTTGTTGTTTAACTATGTCGCGTGAGCCATATTAATCAGACAAGCAATGTAGCGAATAGTCTGTCTTGTGATATGGCGTTGTAAACTTGTGACTACTGCAGGACATACCCATGTCTTGTTTCAGGCTAGTAGGGTGGGTTTGTATCTCCCCGCAGTCACCCTCCCTGTCTTTTGCGGCATGTTGCGGTGACTTCTGGTCACACTCACCTACTCGAGGGCTGTGCTTGCGGTGGGGTTAGTAAAACACAGTACGTATATGGGACTGACATGTTCAAGTAAGGGGTGCGGTTCTCAATCACTTGACCGTACGTATACTGCAACTTGCACATTCCTCGGCAAGTTAAACTGAACGAGTCGAGTGGATGAGAAGACTCTGAGAGACTCTAGCTAAGGTGCGTTAAGTATCGAGAACTATACCTTGTGAGATGGACATGAAGCGAACTGACTTGTGAGATAGTGTATGCCAAGGTGGCTATGGAAATTAGTATGTCCGAAAAGTTAATGAGGTTCACTACTGTCCTTGAGCAAAGAGTCTGGGGTAATGGCTTCTCTAGCTATTGTAGAATGTGTCGATGGAAAGACATTTCTATCTGAAGCGAGTGCTTCTGTGCCACCCGGAGAGCTAAAATCCCTATGCTTTGCCAGATTCATGACCAGGATCGGTTGGACTGTCTGGTAGGAAGCCATCGAATTCTGCTAGAGAAGAGCTGGCTGTTATAGTTCCTTGAAGTCGCTTAATGAATTCGCGCCAGCTAGTGTGGCTGCCTCGAGCGAATCACAAAGAAAGGCAGAACGGCAGAGGGAGTACCTGAACAAGTCTCACCAACCAGGTCAGCCGGTTAAAGCGGCATCATCATCGGAGCGAAGCCGGAATTAGCGGCACGGAGATTATGGCCTGCCTAGTATAGTCAAGTGCTGAGCCATGGTTTGTCTCCGCTTAGAAAATGAGCTCAGCGGCATCCTCCGGCTGTTTTGCGTGCGCTTGCCCAATATCACAAAATTTTCGCCAATCGAACTACTCCGACCAAAGTTGCGGTGGAATCCACATGGAAGGAAAAGTCTCCGAGTTAACGCGAGCCTAATCGAGAAACTGATTGGGCAATGCATCAGAAGTGGTCCGTCCACTACTACCTACCAAAATGATGACCTGTAAGCTGGATGCCATATGTAAGACTGGTAAACCCTGAATGGCGACATGTCAACATGACAGTTGTAGTCTAGGCCTCTCGTCGATGACGGGGCTTGAATCGCGGCAGCCTTCGTGCAAATGCCGCCAGACAAAGGGAGGAAATCCTGACGAGTGTAAAGCCGAGAAAGCCGGATGTGCCGAACTTGAGGTCATGGGATCGGGTCGATCTTATCAGGCCTAAAATTTTATGGCGGGTCCCTTTAAGTTTGTGTGTCGGCTTGACAGCACGGATGTCCAGCAGTCCAATCTGGCAATGATTGCTGCGTAGTATGATCCTGTGGGCAGATAGACTCACCAGGACAGTGGCATTCACAAAAGGACAATAGTAACACCCATTCTCATCCCTATATAGACTATTGTAACCATGTTGTGGGTTTGACTCTAGCAAAGCTGCCTGGAGAAACCATGCCATGACGTCAACGACATGACCGCAACAAGTATCCGATTTTTCCCACGATGAGCATCGCGTCATGATCGATGAGTCAGTGTTGGTCATACGATGCATAAGTACGGGTGCGGTGGGAAAGGGCCAGCCAGGCCTGGAAACGGTCAAAGAGAGAAAGTGGGTAAATACTTAAAAAACTTAGAAAAAGAGGCTCGACAGTGATTGAATGATTAATGCGAGAGATCTCCGGGTCAGACGGATGTGTGTCGAGACGGGAGGTGCGTGGATGTAAGAAAAAGGTGACGAGAAGCGCCATGGCGCATGGACGGTGTTTATGCCTCCCGGGCAGTTCATACAGAACGGAAGGGCGCGGATGCGGATTGTGATTCTCGCCCGGTGATGCCAAGCCGCGATCGTCAGTTGGGTTGTCAGAAAGAGAGCAAAGGTCGATAGATACTGGCAGAATCATACACGGGCACGGACAGGGCTAGCAATCACTAGCAAAAAGCCCAACGTGCGAGGCCCGCCGGGTGGGGTTTGCTTCCGAGGGAAGAGGATGCCACTAAAGCCGGCAGAGATCGACGCTTGTTGGTGGTCTGCCTACACTCGAAAGTAGTAGATAGACACACCAAATAGCTCGATATAAGGATTACAACCGAGTACTATCGAGTACTCTATGGCTAAATATGGCGGCTGTATAGGTTGCACCACAGTTGCACAATCATCGTGCTAGATGAACATCTCCCTAGCAGTCAGTTCATGGTTGCTTATCAGTCTAACCTCAGTGTTGTTGTTGTTGTATAGATAGGATCGTCGCCAAACCTACTAAAAGGCCGGTCGGCGCCAGCACATCCGCGGTCTGTACCTGTCTATGGCATGCACCGCTCTCCTCGCTTGTAGCACCGACCTTTAGTGCAACCGCCTGCATCGCAACGTCACGCTACACTGGCATGCGCCCTGAGTTGACGATCAGCCCACCAGAATCTGGAGATGGGGAAAAGTCATGGGCCAGTTGGGTACATTCCAGATGGGCCACTGTTCAACAGGGCTGGACAGCTAGCTAGCTATCCATCCATCTTTAGGTACAACACTGCTCCTACATCCACCGCAGCTACTCTGTGCATGTAGCTGAGATATTAACACTAGTCTCATTGGAGCGGAATAGTCCAAAGCAGTAGTCCGTAGGGCCAGAGACAGCTTGCCGTAGATGGCACCGATCGACCTCTGCAGAAAGAGGGGTTATATTAGTACGGACGGTCTTGACTTCAGCTCGCCCTTTGGTCGCGGAGGATACTTCCTCCTTTAGCAGCTCCCCGCTCCAAATCCCCTCCAATACACAGCTTGCAATAAACCAGCCATCGTGTCAGTGTGTGCCGTGCTGCTTGCTCGTTCGCGGTCCGTTGCATATGTAGTTGGTACATGCTCATTGGAGCTGGTGATAGATCGCTCCGCACGCTGGACCAACATAACAAACACACTATGGCATCCTCCCTTTCATGAGTCCCCACCAACACTTCTCACCTGCCGATGTAAGGGGAGATGAACTAGATGCATGACTGTCCTCTGGTGATGTCGCGAGAATCCAATCATCTAAATACTCCGGATCTGATACATTCTATCCTAGACAACAGCCCCTGGCAGTTCGCTCTTTCACAAGCTCGAATAGCCGCCGAGACAGAGAGGTGAGTAAACGATTCGTAGGCTTATTGCGCACCATCTTACAAGTCGCGGGAAGGCGGGACCTAAGAAGTTGGGCGTATCAGAATCCCTGCATTCTGGACTTCTGTTTACACCCCCCGCGATCGAATGATTGCTGCGCCTTCCGGGGGACTGTCAGACGGACAGGAAGGGATGGATAGATACATGGCATGAGCGTCCTGGCATAATTGTGACTACAGAGGACTGCGTGGAGACGAGATCGGAGCCCAAACGGCGTACAGGCCACTGCCAGACACGCAGATGAAGGTGGACCGGCATAGGGAGTAGTAGTTAGTAGTCTCATGCACTTGCAGCCTTGTTGACCCTTTCGCCAATAGTGCGAACTTGGGCTTGAAGACCCTTCTGTGTGATTCTGGCATCGCGAAAAAGGCCTGCTGTCCCACGGCATTAGTAATATATCCGCGGGAGGGGCCATGAAGCCTTAAGAAGCAAGATGAAAAAGCCCCGAAAACAGGCGAACAGGATCCCGAAGCGGATGGGGAACAAGAAGGGAACATCCACTGGTCCGCTCTAGGCCACACGCTAAAAGTCCGGTACCTTGGGATGAGGTCATTTCCCATGGCGCGTCAGCGCATCGTGACCTGGAAGTCGAGTATCTCCTCCCGGTCGCTCCGGGCTTCCGAGAACCCAACTCTGCCAAGAGGGGTAATTTTCTTTTTTACTTTTCTCTTTTCTTTTGTAAATCCCCTTTTCTGGGCTCTTATTTGTGCTCCTCTTCGGCTTTATCGAAAAATGGTTCATATGATCTGAAGCCAAAACAGGCACTTCTCTTGTTGCCATTATTAAGTAATTCAATTTCCACACAACAAACCTTAATTTGAAGAAGTTTCAAATCACAGCAAGATGCATCGTGACTCAGAGGCTGAGAGCTCGTGATCCGAGGGGGCTTTGCTACTAGTAGTAAGAGAGATATACGGAGTAGGGATGATGTTGGAAAGGAAGTAAGATGGCAAGGAGGGATTGGCTGACAGGCGAAAAGATCCCGAGAAAAGTGTAAATGGAAACATAGAAGGGAAAAGAAAATTCATTTTTCTGAATGGAAGAAGAAATAAAGTTCCAGGCATTGGAGGCGGTGATTAGTCCAAAAAGAATGATCGGCTCCATCGCTGGATGACTTCGGGAGGCATGAGTGGTGGTACCAGCGTTCTCAGCAAGACACCTCATGATGACGATGGGAGCCTTGAAGGATCGAGCTATATCATGGGCATAGCCTCAACATGGAATCCGAGAGTATCTTGTTAGTTGTTAATCATCATCACTCTCATTTCTTGCAAAAGAAGAAAGAAGAGCGAGGGGTCAAGCAAACAAAGCAGCAGTCAGATCAGAAACCAGACTGGGAGGTGAACAGCGTCACTCCTGGGGGGGCCTTAGTCCTTTTTTTTTTAATTTTTATTTCCTTTTTTTTTTTTTTTTCCGTTTCCCTTTCCTTGCTAGCGCGAGGGTGCCAGTGAGTAACTCCACTTTCGGCACACGGAGCTTTGGGGAGCTCGAGCAGGACCGCTTGTTTCCACGGCCTTTCGGTCTTGTTGCATGCTATCCCCGCCAGCTCCGAAGGAAGGAGAGCTGCGAACACAAGGCGCGAATGGGAAAGAAAAAAATTAAGTCATGAGTAATGATTAAATAAAAAGTCTCGCGCAACCCTCTCTGGCAACCCCTCCGGTCTTCAGCCTTCCGTCTCGCTTCTTAACCTACTTGTATGGTCCACCGTTGGCTGGCTGGGTTTTCTTGGATTCTTCGCCCATTCTCATACTTATACTTCCTGCTCTCCCTTCACGACCGTCCGTTGCTTCCATACTTCAGCCCTACCAACCTGTCTGACCTCCCGACGTATTCCCACGTACTGCCCTTCGCCAGGTGGTAGCCGCGCCCATCCGCAATCCAGCAACCCAGCTTCCTCGTACAAATTTCCTCTGTTATCTTGTTTGCGACAAGGGGAGCTGGGAGTTGGCTTAATCTCATAGTCGTCTCTCCGTGCTCGCACTTGATTTCAACCTGTCGCACGTCGCAGAGATATAGTTCCCCTTATTTGGTTTTCCCGTCTGTAATATAGAAGCTCCCCCCCCTCATGTGGCAGCGAGCTTCCCGTGCCGCGCTTGCGGCAGCTTTCCTTCTAGTCTCCGTTGCGAATGCGCTTCCCCACGGAGACGACGAAGCGATGGACATGGACATGGGTATGGATATGAGCCACAGCGAGTCCACCCAGGAATCGTCCACAGAGGCAAATGACGACTCCCCCATGAGCTACTTCGCGTATGGGAAACACGGCACCGCGATTGCGGTTCACATCGGTCTCATGATTCTCGCCTGGTGCTTCATTCTGCCGACAGGTATAGCTCCATTTTATCTAACCCTCACAAAGACACAGAAAACTAACACTTTGCAATAACAGCGGTCATGTTCAGCGTCGCACGGTCACGTTTCGCATTGCCGTCGCAATTCCTTTTCTTGGTATGCAACGCGGTGGGATTGCTTATTGGAATCATCTACAACAGCCAGACCCCCGATCTGTATGAGAACAACGCTCATCACAAGATTGGCTGGATCGCAACCTGGGTCATGAGCGCGCAGGTCATCATGTCGTTGATCTTTGCCTATGCTGGCAGAGGCGAGTCGGAGTCGACTTCGTATGAACGGGCAGCGTTCCTTCCCGTTTCTACCGATGAGATGGAGAGCCCCCAGATGTACTCTGGTGGTATTCGCCATTCGTACCGCTGGTCGCGCGACAGTGGACAGGGCACGGAGAGAAATTCCTCTTCCCTCCACAGTCGTCCTGGGTCGCCATCTTGTGCGTCGCCTTCGGATGAGTATGACGGTTTCGAAAAGCCCGAGGATCCGCTCCCCGAACCCTCGTCCCAACCGCGCGGGTGGTTCCGCATCCCCTTCGCCGACCGATTCCTTGCCAGCCGTGTACCTCGTCTGGTCTCCACCAGAGCGCTTCGCATTATCTCGACCATCTAAATGGGTCCAGCATCATTACTGGTCAATATCGAGTAACGGAGATTGCTTAGAGGGAAATATACTGCCGAGCAGGGGCGATGCTAGGGCAGAATATCCCCGTGTAAATAATCCTCAGAGGAGTAGCATCCAAGCTCTTCAAGCAATGATATCTGGTTGTTATTTTCTATGGACTGCGGGTTGGACCTTCTGGGTCTTGTGTTCGGATGGCAATCGCCGATTGAAGGTCCGACCGGCCCGCAATATCCGACGGAGTATATTAAGTTAGTCTTTGTCTTCCCCGCACGAGAGGAGGGAGGGCATTTAGACTTTCTGCACGTATCATCTGCAGCTTCTCTTCTTCCCAATCACCTATAAATTCCCTTTCCATTCTTTGGTATTCTTTGAAATCCGATATGCCGCAGAAGCTCACGGTCGCGGTGGCGCAAGCCAGCACCCAGTCCACCCTGGCAGCCACTTTGGCGGCCCTGGAGCGAGTGACTCGCCATGCTGCGGCCCGCGGGGTGCACTTGATTCTCTTTCCCGAGGCATATCTTGGGGGCTATCCCAGAACCTGTGACTTTGGCACAGCTGTAGGTGCCCGTGGCGCTCATGGGCGCGACCAATTCCTCGAATACTTCCATGCGGCGGTCGACTTGGGTGACACCCCCACGGGAGCTGGGGACGACTGGGTGAACCGTAGATTGCCCCTTCCGCGAGGCAAGGAATACCGCGGGGATGGCACCCGAGAGGCGCTGGAGAAAATCTCCCGCGAAACTGGTGTGTTCATCGTGTGTGGCGTCATTGAGCGCGCCGGGGGTAGCCTGTATTGTTCCGCCATCTATGTCGATCCGCGCGATGGCGCCTTGGGCAAGCGGCGGAAGGTCATGCCGGTGAGTGGCAAGGAGTTGCTCTGAGAAGATTATGTTGATCAAGCTAATTGGTGATTCACAGACGGCCTCGGAGCGTCTGATCTGGGCTCAAGGATCCCCTTCCACCCTCAAGGCTGTCACCACTGAACTTAATGGGGTTCGGCTGACCATCGGGGCCGCAATCTGCTGGGAGAATTACATGCCGATGCTTCGACAGAGCCTGTACTCTCAGAATGTCAACCTCTATCTAGCCCCGACGGCCGATGCCCGCGATACCTGGCTGCCGTTGATGCGCACAGTGGCTGGAGAAGGCCGTACGTTCGTTTTATCCGCCAACCAATGTGTGCGACGCCGGGAACTGCCCGGATGGATCACGGCCAACTCCCAGGACAAACACAATGGCGATGACTATGTGTGTCGGGGCGGCTCCTGCATTGTCGGTCCCCTGGGAGAAGTCCTCAGTGACCCCATCTGGGAAGTGAGCACAGATGATGTGACTGACGCCAGTGATCCAAATGATCCAGCAATTGCAGCCGCACTGTCTATCACGGAGATTGATATGGAGGATTGTGAGCGCGGCCGGTTAGATCTGGACGTGGCGGGCAGTTACTCACGCAATGACTCCTTCAAGCTGACAGTAGATGGGCTGGACCTGAACCCTCCGCCACTGTAAGCTGTCAGCGACTTGTAATGAGCCTGATGTATATAACTAAGAGAAATGTACCTAATAAGTGTTCGGAGGAGTGCCCCTGAAATGGAGTAGATCCTGAGTCGAATAAGATGAGATGTCAATCATTCAGATCTTCACAATCCGTAGAGATTATCTCCCAAAAATGCAAGCCTGAAATGAAGCCTGAGGCATTAAACTTAGTCAGCCATTACATCAGCTGAAGCTTACCCGATTCGGGGCATTTGAATGGTGTTTTTGGTACCAATCAATCCATCGATCAATCACCTTCATCTGAATCATCTACTACTATTATAAAACTTCATTCTTTGAAGGCCAATGACATGTAGTAATTCTTGAGGTCACGGGTACACACCATCTTCAGGACCTGATATGACGCCCAGTCCGGCACCTTCACCTCAGTTGGCCTGCCGACGCTGCCGTATTCGCAAACAGAAAGCACGTTGCCCCAACATTGCCAACACAATGATACCGGCTAATGTAAGGGCTACTGTATAGTGCAGCCGGCCTCGACCATGCACCAACTGTGTACAGGCGCAAGCCGGTAAATCTCTCTTAATGGTACTACTCCCTGTGATCTTCTGTCGCAACTGACATACATCAGCCTGTGTACCTAGTCAACGACCAGCTAGGAAGAGCCGCGTCAATCCGGAGTGAGCTGTTCCCTCATCAGGCTGATAGCCAGGGATTATTGCGTCTGACCACATTAGATATGCCCGTGCTCTGGAGGAACGGATTATCGAGCTGGAGTCCCAACAACGTGATTCCACTGATCCTACTCTCGAGCCGGGCCCAACTCCAGGCCTGAGGAAGACAGACGTGCAGCCGACAGAGTCACTCGAACCGCCGCAAAAACGAATAACCCGAGCCCAAACTGAAGAAGCAACATTCCCAGCAATTTGTCTCTCATCCCATGGCCCGGGTGATGGCGAAGGCACCCAAGCTGGGAGTACCCCTTCTATTACCGTACTTCCCCCCCTTCACACGCCACAGTCGGGGTCACTGGAAGGGACCAACTATGAGAAGGAGATCCCGTCACAGACTCAGGATGAGCTGATCCAAATCTTCCTAAAGCGCGTGAACCCGCGCTATCCCTTTCTCCACGAAGAAACCTTCATCGCCTGGTACGATGCATGGAAAGCATCCAGGAACTTGGGCGTGCCTCTGCCGCCGGAAGAGCAGTGGAAAGCATTCTTCATCAAGATGGTTGGTCATTTGCGAAGACCATGCAACATAAGCTGACAGGCTAGCGCCAGGCACTTGCCGTTAGCCTTTTGATCGCACCTCGAGTATCACCCCGAGATATGAAAGTTTCTCAGGTAGGAGTACCGTCAAATCACATCACGCCCCCGCTAAAATCACAGGCTCTATATTCCTCCGCTGCATCATCTCTAGATGCTGTATTCGCTTGTCTTGACCCCGTATTGCATGCGCAAGCCTACTTACTGTGCACGCTGCATGCACTTCACTCGCCTTCTTCGCAAACGGTTTTGACAATGATTTCTGCAGCCGTGCGTTGCTGCGTGATTGCACAGTTGCATTTATCAGCAGTAGAACACCAACCGCAAGAACTGCTCTGTGAGAGGCAGATCCGGCGCCGTGTGTTCTGGTCTGCTTACGCGATTGATCGCCTGGTCAGTTGGGTTTATCATGTCCCGTGCAGTCTCGTGGACGAAGACATCCAAGTTGAGGTGAGATCTCGCTCGCAGAATATTGAATTGGAGGAACTGACTTAATGAATCAGCCTTTTGCCAACATGAACGACGACGAGATAAAAGAATGGCAAGCCCGGGCTGATCGGCCGGATCTGGACGAGTCCACCCCGCGCAGGACTCAAGTGTCGTCCGCTCTTCACCTGATTCGCGGGAGGAGAATTCAATCCCGCATCTTGAGCATCATGATGCGGGCGGATTACGATCAGCGATTTGCTGGATCTCATCAATGGCGTCTTCATATGCTTGAGGTGCTCAATGACTGGAAAGCGCAGCTGGAACCCCATAGCGACCCTCTCTCTAAGGGCTACACCAGCGAAGGATGGGTAGGCATGCTGTACAACTATACAGTGCTACTCCTTTACCGGCCTACGAAAGCGAACATGAGTGGCTTGGTCATGGAGCATTGCATTAGAGCCTGTACCGACATTGCACTGACATTCTGGAAGTATCTCAAGAGCCGTCAAACGGCTCAACTATGGCCGGGTGTGAGTAACCATCCCCCGCATGATCTCTAGAACAGCAACTGAAACCCTTCTTAGCTGCTTAGTCAGTTTGGTATAGGGATTACGCTGTTATACTGCCTATGGGTGATGCCACCATCGCATCGATCCGTCGAAATTCAGTCACCAAAAATTGGCACAGCCATTCGGACGTGCTCCGTGATCTTGGCAGTCCTGTCCGAGCGGTGGACTGAAGCCGAACCATTGCGGGATATCTTTGATCTCTTGGCGGACAGCATCCCGGTCTATTGGTCTCCTGATAATGGCGAAGCAAGCCGCATCTCGGCGTCCTCGGCAGACACGATTCAGGGGTACCTGCCCCGGGTGACGGCCATCGTCATCAACAAAGACATAATGCGCATGCTTATTGAGATGACTACGGAGGATTATCCGTGGGCCGCAGGTCGGCCGGTGAATGGGGGTAACTGGTCGTCTAGTGATGTGCACAATGCCCATGAATGTCCTCTGTGCTGGGGGACCCGAGCAGACCGAGCAGACTTGCCTTCGGTCGGCTTTGATGCAGGAATCCTGTGGCCAGGCTTCGATCATCGCACGGACGATGACTCCTTTGCGGTGTTTGCTGAGGAATCACCCCTCTTTCCGGGGCTTCTGGGCTCGATAGAGTTTTGATCCTTCGACAACGGAGCTGATGCACCGGTTATGCAGTCTGATTACTAACTGATGTGCATAACATGGAATAACTATCTGGCCCCTTGAATTCCCCCGTCTCCAGACTGTTTCGCATTCTCGCAGATATCCTTCTGAGTCAATCCGATTGAACTATTTGCCCCGATGAAGCTGTCTCACCCGGTAGAGGACGATTTCGTCTTCGTAAATATCTCGCGCCCCGATGAGATCAAGTCTGCTTCAACGCAGCGCACCATCCGACGCCATGTCATGCGCGACATTGGGAGATCACGTCGTACACGCCCGGAGCAACGGACTTGGTCTGTGGGCCTGAGAGCCCCGTCAGATCCAGTGACAGAACACATTCCAGCGCCGATTGACCCATGTAATACGACATTTTATCCTACCCCTATGAGCGACCGAGCGCTACAGCTCATGCACTTCAGTATGCCCCTGCAATTACCGGAGCCTCCTTGAGTTTGCCTATCTAACCTGCGTAGTGACTACGGACCGCGACTACGTGTTCCGTCCGTTCCGGACCGTCTGGTTCTCCATGGCATTAACTGACGCCACTGCCATCCTGGTGGCCTTGGCTAATGCTGCCATGTTTCTCGATCAACGCCTGCGGGCCCAGGGTTATCAGTATGAGACCAGTACGGAGTGTCTGAGTTACTACGGACAATGCGTTCGGCAGGTCACACACCGGCTGGCAGATACCCGTGAGAGTATTAGCCAAGGGGTCATCACGGCCATATTGGGCCTGACCTGTCACGATGTTTGTCAATCTTCTCACCCTACCGCTGCATGAATGCTAAACGACAGATAGCTCTATGTTGGTACGTTAGATCGCTGGAAAATTCATATCAGTGGCCTGGGCCGTATCCTCCACCTGAGGGGTGGATACCGGGGCCTAGACGACAGTATCACGCACTTTGCCATTTGGTAATCCCTTACATCCGCTCGTTCCCTCATACATCCATGGGCTAACTGTCCGGCGTCAGGCTTGATGTTGTGGGTAGTGTGATGGAAGACTCCCGCCCTCGGTTGCCTACTCCGCCGGGGTATGCGGCTCAAATTCCCGATATGCTGTCTCCCACTCTGAGAAGCCTTCTAAGGGATATTATTGCAAGATACGATTGCTTCCGTGACGTCGCGGCTGCCTTCAGTCATGTGAGCTTTATTGTCCGATATACTGACGGGTCCCTTTGTCGTTCCGAGACAGCCTGGGTAAGCGAGGATAACCTCACTGTCATTGAACTGTTTGGCCCAGCCACACATTTCCTGCTTTCCATGTCGAGGCCAACCGAGTTGGATTTAGTTGCAACAGAAAACCCAATTCGGCAACTCCGCGAAGCACTTCGGTTGGTGCTATTACTGTTTCTTGCCACAATGAAGCAAGATATCTTCCTCTTTACCGCTCACGAACGCCAATATCTGCAGTGGAAGTTATCAACGCTTATTCCACAGATGGAGAGAACCGACTACGACGACTCTTGTCTGAAACTGCATCTCTGGGTGCTTGTAACAGTGTCTCGACTTTCTCGTTCTACCCAGCCAGGGTTGTACCTTGACGATATCCGGTCCTTGCTGGACCTTCTAGGCATGGGTAGCAAGGAAGGAATAGATCTGGTCGAACGCATTCTGTCCATTAACATTTTAGATGTCTATCTACCTTTTCTCCCAGCGCTCAAGACATCCTCATGTTCATAACTATGGCATCTTAGCCACCCACAATTCCACCACTGACGGAAATGACCTGTCCGGAGATCCAGCGACTCTTCTCCGAGCACAACAACAGCACTGCGTCCGCAATATCCTGCACGGTGCCCAATCGCTCCTCGACTCGGCTCATGGGAACCATTGTCTTGTTAATCTTTTCCGCCACCTGAGGCGGTAGACCATCTGTATCTACCGGACCGGGGGAAACTGTGTTGATGGTTATGCCGCCATGATTGCGACCAAGCTAGACACCAATTAGCATAATTCTCGTGTGGGTTCCCGCCGTAAAGTCCAGCGTACCTCCATTGCCATGGAAAACGTCAGCGCATCCATCGCCGCCTTTGAAGCGCTATAGACTGGCGATCCTGAAATGCCCAACTTGGACGCCACCGATCCGATGTTGATGATTCGACTGCGTGGCGGCATGTGCTTCACTGCTTCCTGGATGAGGTAGATTGGACCAAAGACATTGACAGCAAAGGTGGTCGCAAGAGCTTCGGGCGCAGCGCTGAGTACCGGTCCCGGAGTGCCAGTAGCCGCGTTGTTGACTGGTCCACGTCAGCAAGCGTCCAAGCCAGGGAGGCGGAGGTGTTCGTGGACAAACCTAGGATATCAAGCCTTCCAAAGGCTTTGACTGCTGCTTGCACAAGCCTCTGTGCTTCGTCAGGTCGGGAGATGTCCGCCTGTACGGCTAGGGCCTGTCCGCCCGCCGCGGTGATGCTCTGCGCCACGGTGGCAGCGGAAGGACCTGTGGACGGTGAGACATAGTTGAGGATAACCGCTGCACCGTGGTGGGCCAGTAGAGTGGCAATTGCGGCACCAATGCCTCTCGTTTTACCAGATCCGGTAACGAGGGCTACTTTGCCTTGAAGACTGAGAGAGGAATCATATTGGGACATTGTGAATGAGTGATGATGGTATGGAAGATGGGAGTCGAAGATGCTGTGGAATCAAGTCGCCTTTTATGCATTTCCAGCGGAGTTTTAGGCGAATGGAACAGTGCAAAAGTGAGAGGTTTTCTTGCCCTTCAGCATTGTGATATTCGCCGCCATGATCCTGGAGGCTATACACGATTTCCCGATTTGGCAAACGGTCCCTGGCCCCTGCAGCTGACTCTCGCACTAAGCAGGAAGCAGTTAGTGCTTATGAGTGGATCTTAAACAATTCCGATGGTTGGTCAGAACCTTTTAATCTCAAATTACTATTCATATTTTGGTTTAGCTAGCATCACTCGATTGGGAAGATATTGAAAGGGTGAAGAGATAACTCGGCAGAGGGCATCTTAAATTCATTATAACTAGATAATACACAGATAGCTTTAATACCCAGTGACCGAAGATCACACCCAGTTATTCAGTTGCTGTCACAATTGTCCGCGACTGCTGCGTCTGATACCCGGTCGTGTCGAATTCCACGCTACCACTACTGGTCTGGCTCAGGCTGCTGCTTTTCCGCAGCTCCTCGGGTTCATTTGTGACTTGAAACTGGCGGTGCTCCCAAATTTCCAACGGCTGCTCTCGAGTGATATACTCGCCAGATTCGGTTGGATCGATCGTAGACCGACCGTGCGATTTGTCGCCAGCGCGGAACCGCGACAGATGGATGGTCGAGCCGTCCATGCGGCTGGTATATTTGCCATGGCTGCGATCGTATGAGGAGTGGGCCAAAAATGCCCGCCAGTTGAACAGTCGGCGAAACAAGGTCCAGGTTTGAGGGATGTTAGCAACGATCACTGCCGTGGCAGCCTCGCGGACGTACCAGTCCACCCATTGCCCGCCATATGGATTGGACAGGGAGTAGTATTTGGACAGAATGGAGCACAGAATCACAAAGGCACCCAGCGAGAAAACCGCGCACAGGGTGACCTTCTTGGCCAGACTCAGTTTCGCCTTCACCAGCAGGGGTAGCGGGATGGCCATGATCATCAAGTCGGTTGAGATATTGAGAGTGAGTACCAGAATCAAGTGATTGCGATAGACGGAACACTGAAGGTTTTTCGGCGGTACGGACCAGTATGCGGCAAAGGGACGACACCAGGCGGCAAAGAACAAGATTTCCACAATGACGAAGCTAAGGGCACAGAAGGCACCGATGATCTTGACGATTCGATGCTGCGAGAGTCCGGATCTAGAAGACAATCAGATGCCATATTCAAATCAACCGTGAGGCGAACCTACGTCATGGTCGAGTACAACAAAAGCAGGCAAGCCTTACACCCCCAGATGGTGGCTAGCCACATCTGCTCCGCCACAATGACCAGCTTGCTACCTGTGATACGATCTGGGATGGAGGAGGGATCGATGCTATTGAATTGGTCCGGGGGAATCTCGTTAGTGCCATGTTTGTGCACTTCAAGTAGGAACACGGTCAGCAAGATGTAGAAGACCTGTGTCGCTGTCAGTCATTGCGCCGTTAATTTGTTGTCAGTGTGGAGGTCATGCGTACGACAGTAAAGCACATCATCAAGTCTTCAAGTTGAAGATGGCGGGGCACTCCCATCTGCAACGTCCGGGAGATATAGCGCAGTAGGGCTGTCACGATAGGCGATCAGCACTGATTAACATCCTGTCACGCCGTTGTTCCCCGACGATCACTTACTGACTAGCAGCACTACCGCGAACCACACCCAAGTGTTAACGCTGGAAACCATTTTGCAAAAGAATAAATGCTTCTTTAGAGGAGTACAAGGTGTCTCCTGTCAAGGTACTGGTGTAGTACAAGGTATCCCAAGTGCCCAATTCCTATGGTTTGTTATAGCTAAGCTGTCGACACTTGATAGAGCCAACAGGAGGACAACCAATGCCAAGCCGGCAGGGTCTAAAGCCGTTCAACGAGAGAGGTGAACTTCCATTACGTGGAGAGGGACAAGAGCAACTACTGGGAGCTGTGTCTTGTTAATACTGCTGCACGAGCTCCTATGCCACTCCTGACACGCAGACCTCCGGTTTCCCGAAGCGCCCTCGAAGCCTAGGCAGGGCCCACCTGGTTCTCAAAGAGGATATTTCGCGCGTGCATACGATTGCTGGAAGGGTTTCCCTCAGGTTTCCATGCAATAAATGCATGCTTCCATGTCTGAGGCTCCCGTGGCTCAAGGACCACGGCCAAGGCCGATCGGGGCGATCAATTGGACGAGGGAAAAGAGAGATTCTGGTCTTCTGAGCTGCCTTATTATTGGTGTCGTCCTCGGGGTGTGACCTACCGAAGGGATACGTCGTTTTTCTTCCTAGAGTTGGATTTGCTGTAAGAGAATAGTGCCCTCTACTGGGTCCCTAACTTTGGCAGCTGAATATTGCGTGAAGTGAGGGTGTAGCTGTGCGCATAATCCTCATAGCCAAGGAAAAAGGCGTATTGACACGCTCGTGTTAATAAATCCACTCTGTCTCCGGGACGGGCCAACGTGTGGCACCGTTCCAAAGACACGGGATTCAGATCGGAGCCGGAAACCTTGTGGTGAAAATTCTGTCACCCCGTCCACAGTTCAGGACACGCGCGGTTTCCTATGACTGCTAAAGGGTGAAAGAATTGTTACTATGTCCGTTGTATGTGGCCCGGAAAGTTGTCGTCGAAATAAACAGTATCGATTTGGAAAAGTGGTTTAAATGCAGCGACAGTGCAGAGCGCTGCTGCTTGGTTCCTCGAGCTCGTGTAGCTAACCCAGATTGTGTCACTTCGGGCCTCGTCCGGTGGCTGACTCCAGGGCAGCGACTGGACCAGCTGGGCGAACGGGCCAACTGATACGATCCAAGGTTTCAGCCGAAAATCTTATCTCTAACCAGTCAGCGGTAGGACGTCGCAGGAATAGAAACTACCTGTTGTCGCCGTTCCATGGGTCACTACCGCCCTCATTCCGACCTCATTCACGGGAGGCATCGCAATTTCACTAGCTTGCTTACAGGCTGGTGGAAAACACATGTGAAGAAAAACTCCCGTACCAAGTGTGGGCGAAATTACCGCCATCGACATCTAAGAACCCAGATGCTTTGAACGTGGTTGGTCCGTTCGGCGTAATGGAGAGATAAGTAGCTCTTTTGGGGAGCTTTGCGGCATCTGGAGTGCGCTATGGATATCACAGTTGTGCCATTGTAGGGACTGTCAATCCTGACATTTCTGGGTCTTTGCAACTAGGCTAAGCTCAAGTACGGTGCCATTTTCTATTCACCCTTCTTTGTCTGCGGCAAGATAATGGAGAAAAGTAGACTTCATAGCGCTACCCGCATGTATAAAAGGGGTCTTCAAGCATGATTTATTGGTACCTCTATGTCCGAATTATCCTTGTTTATGCTCAATATAGCACCAGACACCAAAGGCCTCCTCTGCCCATCAGCTACTACACTGTCCTGGCAGCCTTGACTACTACCTTTGGGGGCACCATAGAGCCAGGGAGTATATCAACTATCAGTCATCTATCACATAGTGGATTTCTCAACGTGTAAAGGTTCAAAACCGGTCCAGAGATTACCTGATGGTAAAGCCGCCGTCTACGCGAATGTCCGCTCCGTTAATCATACCACTTGAGTCCTGTTTCGCCAATCAGAATAAAACGCAAACACTCCTCAGTCGATAGGTCAATTGCATACCTGACAGAGAAAGAGAACCGCATCCGCTACCTCGTCTGGCTGCGCAAACTTGCCCGTCGGGATCGTTCTTAAGAAAGCCTCCCGCACGTCATCCTGCCCCCAAGCCTTCTGTCCCAGAGCGGTCCAGGCCACCGTCGGAGACACGCTGTTCGCCGTAATGCCGCGGCCTCCCCATTCAGAAGCCATACTGCGCGTTAGCCCCAACAAGGCTGCCTTGGAGGCACAATAGGCTCCGTGGCGATGGAGGGCCACATGCGCGGCTTGAGAGGCCAGGTTGACGATGCGACCCGGAGGCGGCGGGTTGGGTGACGAATGAGCTACCTCAGCGGCGGCCAAGTACAAGCGCGCAAAGGCCTGCGAGCACAGCATGGGGCCCAGGACATTGGTATGCAGATGCTTTAGCGTTTCTTCCGGCGGGGTGAGCTCCAAATCACTTAGCGACACATAGCCCGCCGTATTAATCAAAATACTGGGGAAGGCACGGGAAGACTGCATCGTCAATGATGGGGCGAGAACCTCCTCCTTCAGGGTGGTGAAGACGGACTGAACAGCCTCGGGGTTTGTGATGTCGCATTCATACGTTCTGATTTCCTCACGCGCGGGCAGCTCGCCGTAACCAGCCTCTAGCAGCTCATCGCGTCGGGCAGCCTCGAAGGGGGCATACAGAATAGCTAGCCGAGCACCTTGTTGGCGGAGCTTCTTACCGATACTCGAGCCCAGGCCACCTTACTCAGGGACAGGCAGTCAATACCCAGCACGGGACTGTAACGGGGGTTGAGTCAATGCCTACCTAGGCCACCGGGGAGGATGGCGAGCCGACGCGCAAAGGCCATACTGGTGTTAATCCAATGGTGGAGAAATCAAGAAGTATGTAGGAAGCTAACAAGAACGTGGTATGAGGACGCACTGACAACAACAGCAACAGTCAGATGGTTCCTGATACTCGTGGATTTTCCCCGCACCGGCAAACCAGGAATGTGACGTCATATTGCATATGGTAAATTGACACGGAGGCGAGGAACTGAGTGGAATTCAGTAATTCAGTAAGCCCATTGAACTGCATGACTCCTGAGTCTCACACCACACAGTTGATGTAAAGCTGGGGACATAGAACTTTCCCGTGTCAAAACCCCTCTATGGAGACCCAGCCGGGAATGTGAGATGCCATGCCCCCGCGGCTTTAGAACCACCAAGCTGTGCTCGTGGACAACGTGGAATAGAGATGTGCGGAAACTAGGTTTGCAGGCATCAAACGAATGGACAACGCTTGGATAGTGAAATGACCAGGCCTGCTGGAGAGGACAGGGGGAAGTTGGGGCTCACACCAGGCCTGTGCCTCCTATCTGCCAGCAGGGGGAGACTACTCTAATTACTTGACTGGCACCTACACGGACCGGAAATCTAATCAATGATGCAGTTACACGCATCAGTCAGTAGGTCAAAAGGCATCCGCGGGATTGATACCCTCCCAGATATTCCAGACCAGTATGCGGGTGGAAGGGAAGGTGTGAGGTGCCTTGATCCCGGTATCAGGGAACTGAGACGAGCAATAGGTCTATGTGGATCTATGTCTATGCGCATCGCGTGAATGGAGTTGCCTACACCATCGTCCCCTGCCATGAGTGAGAAGCCAGACCGTTTCGCGAGAGTCACGACCTGCTCTCCACGATCTTGAGCACATCCTCTAATGTCTCCGCTGTATAATCCGGTTGCAGCCGTTGGCACTCCTCCACATCACCCTGGCCGTACCGACACCAGCAGACCTGGGCGCCAATGTTCCTTGCGTACAGAATGTCCGTCAAGGTGTCCCCGACCATCAGCACGCGCTCCGCATCCACCCCATCGGGCGCCCCGAGGGCCTTCCAGTTCGGCCAGAGCACGTCCGTGAAGCTGGACGGATCAGGCTTGCGCTGCACGCCGGCCACACCATGACCCAGAATGAGGGAGTCTGGAAAGTACTGCAGCAGGTCGGTCTTCTTCAAGGCCGCCTTCACTGCGACCGCAGCTTTGTTGCTAATGATGGCCATGGGTTGATTCCGGTCGTGCAAGGCTTGTAGGACGTCGCGAGCGGCGGGATAGGGACTTGTACGGGATTGGCCATGGATGGCATACAGCTCGCGGTAGGTAGGGACCCAGAGGGATTCGTCGAAGGTGGTGGGATCGGGGTGTAGACTGCGAAAGGTGTCCCCGGGAGGCGCACCGGTGGAGACAAGCGGGCGAATATCGCTGGACGAAGGCGGAGGATGGGAGGGCAGGAGGCGCTGGAAGGTCAACTGGATGGAGTACTCGATGGCATCGTAAGTGTCGAACAGGGTGCCGTCAAAGTCAAATATGACGAGCTGATACGGCATGATGATGGTGGATGTTGGTGGTGTTTTATTCTAAGTTGGTTTTGTTCTGCGTAAGGTCCATTCAACTTCTTTTTCTTCTTTTTGACTCATTCCCCCAACTGCACCAGCCACCTCCGCCACTCTTGGGGGTGGCGCAGAAAGTATAAGCCACACATGGTTTGCAAACGTGCAACAGGGTAGAGATATTTTCATTTATTTATGTATTGATCGTTGCTTTTCCTGTCATCAAGCTATTCTGGGTAAAAAAAAATCAAAAGCTAGGATATTTTCAGTATCTTTGTCCAGTTCAGCGGGCAAATTGCGTGGCCCTGTTCGTCATTCAGTTCAACAGTTATATATAGTCTCAGCTAGTAGCTGCACAGCCTACATGTCGTATCGAAAGCCAGACAAACACATCCGTCTCTTTCATTCTTAGCAGTAAGCATAAGGAGGATTCGAAGTTTTTCTATCATACAACTAGCATCGATCAAGCAACCGAGGAAAGGAATCTCATATATATATATGCCTTACGATCGCGAGGAATACCGACTTCTAACCCGAGATGTACAACTCCTGTTCTATCTGATTGTTTTAGCCATTACTGACCGACAGATCCCAACAAATCAGTCGGAGTCTCCATTGGTCCACTCAATTCGCTAGTTGGCTACTGATTTGTTCAACATCCTTATGTTCATCAAAACCTCAATTCCAGCAGAAGTGGACTTGCCGTCCTCTATGGTTCG